TCACCGCTCAGGAGATACAGGAGGCGGTGCGAGGAGCGAAAGCAGGGAAAGCACCCGGAGAAGACGGTATACCAAACTCTCTCTGGCACAAGCTTATCGAGATACCGGTGGTTCTAGAAACAGTGGTCCAGTTATTCAACGCATGCATAAAAACGGGCTACAACCCGTCACATTTCCAGCGCTCAATCACGGTGGTGCTCCGGAAGCAAGGCAAAAGCGACTACCAGCTCGCAAAATCTTTCAGACCCGTCGCGTTGCTGAACACGCTCGGGAAGTTTTTGGAGGCAGTTGTCGCGCGACGGATCAGCTACGCAGCAGAAACCAATGGCTTGCTCCCACGTAGCCATCTAGGCGGACGAAAGGGCATATCCACCGATCATGCTATCCACATTATCATCGACCGAATCAAAACCGCATGGGGAAAGGGCAAGCCAGTGGTATCCCTGCTGATGCTGGACGTGTCCGGAGCGTACGACAACGTCTCCCATGAACGTCTACTACACAACCTCAAAAAACGTCGCTTGGGACATTTCGTTCCCTGGGTGAGGGCCTTCTTGACCAATAGAAGCACAAGAATCCGTATGCCCGAGGGCACATCCGGCCGAATCCCGACGCCAACAGGCATCCCTCAAGGATCACCGATCTCACCCATTCTATATCTCATCTACAACGCAGACCTCGTTGAGAACTGCGCTAACGGTGTGAATAGCAACGGGTGGGTCGACGATGTTTGCTTCATGACAAAGGGAGACAGCGAACGCGAAACCATCAAGAAACTCAGAGCGGCATGCCGCAAAGCCGACCAATGGGCCGAGAAGCATGCATCAGTTTTTGACCCGAAGAAGTATGCACTCGTGCATTTTGTAAACACCAGGGAAGTCGACCCACAATACACATCGCTGTCTCTACGAGGGCACACCGTGAAAGCGACGAGGACAGCTGAGCGGTACCTAGGCTATTGGCTGGATCCGGGTCTAGAATTCCACCATCACCGCGAGAAAGCGGTGACCAAGGCCGGCGTCTCTCTCCACGCACTACGAAGCTTGGCGGGTTCAACGTGGGGAGCCTCACTCTATGCAATGCGGAAGATCTACCAAGCGGTGATCATCCCGCAGATGCTCTTTGGGGTTTCCGCGTGGTATCAACCTACGCTCATCAGTAATTACAAAGCACGCACAATCAGTCAGCCTTTCGCGGCAATACAAAAACAGGCAGCATGCCTGATCAGTGGGGCTTTCAAAAGTACGGCAGCCAAAGCACTGAATTCCGAGCTTCACCTACCGCCTATCTCTGTTCACATGAACCGACTGGTGAAAGAAACGGCCCTTCGACTACGAACAGGACCAGAGTTCGCTGTCCCACCAACGATGTTACGTCGCCGACCGGCAGATGAGAGAGACTGGGCTGGATGGACACCAATGGAGGCGCAAGCTTGGAAGGCGGGCGGATGTCTTACGGCTCCCCCGAATACTTTGACAAGAGGATGGGAGAGTCGAAAGGCATTCGTCCTGGCACCATGGCAAGCGCCACCAGAGGTGATCATCGAGGACAGAGAAGCTGCGGTTAACAATCACAACCAAATCCTGACGAGAGACCCAAGAGAAAGACCCTTGATTCTGTACACTGACGGGAGCGGAATTGATGGAAAGATCGGAGCGGCAGCGGTCGTGGGCCTTGAGGATCAACATGTTCACAGCCAGATGGGAGACGATATTACGTCCACCGTATATGCGGCAGAACTTCGAGCCATTGAGATGGCTCTTGAAATGGTTCTGGAAAGCACAGAGCCATGGGCTAAGCAGGCGAAGAACGGGATAGTCATCTTTGTAGACAGCCAAGCAGCGCTGAAGGCGCTGAGGCGACCGGGGATGCCGTCAGGACAGGTCTATCTAGCAGGATGCCTCGGCCTGATCCAGCGGCTTGCTGGCAGATGCGTCCGAGTTGAGCTCAGATGGATTCCTGCGCACCAAGGGGTCATTGGCAATGAGATTGTAGACCAACACGCAAAACAAGCAGCCCAAGAACCGGACGGCCTACAGAACCCTCACGATCGAGGTATATGCCTCGCAGCCGCAGCGAAACGGCGAATCCGCAGAGAAGCGAAGCTGGAGTGGGGCAGGACGTGGGCCAAGGAAACGACCAGTCGACCGACAAAACGCTTGATTGAAGCACCAACCAAGAAGACGCTAGAATACTGGTCGGGCCTGCGAAAAGCAACGGGCTCGATTCTGATGCAGCTTCGAACTGGGCGAATTGGCCTAGGGGCTTACCTGAATCGTATCAACCGACGCGAAACAGCGCGGTGTGACAGCGATCTTGGCAGCCAAACAGTAACACACGTCCTGCTGGAATGCCCCTCGCACCAGGACGAGCGAGACTGGATGAGAAGCGCTCTTTCCGACAAGGGAATTACTCTTAGTCGAGACGAACTCCTGACACGACCGGAGGCTCGCACGGCTGTGGCCGAATTCATGGCCAAGACCGGCCTCCTAGGCCAATTTCAGACAGTCGACCCTACGGCTCTGGGCGAGGAAGGGGACGACCAAGGAGCGGAGATAATGATCCCTTAGACAGTGTGACGGAAGAAGAAGTATTAGTATCAACGTTAATCTAGGCTAGTTCGAACATACCGCGTCACTAAGTAGTTGATGGATACTACCAGTACCCTTCTTCGGTAGTCGCTGTCGGCACCTTGGTCCATCAAGATGTTTCTGCATCGTTGACGTTCCAGTATGGTTCGTAGCTGGATGCGCAAGAACTGTACGGCAGTGATTGCATATAACCCCTGGCTTTCCATCTTTGGCATTTGCAACTTGCTGAAACCCTTCCCAGCACTTTGCACGACGGCTTCTAGGGCTTATATCCCAGTTAATCCGCTTCGATTTTCCGTAGTTAGTTTGAAGCCACCACTGAACGAATTCTGTAGACATCGCTGGTGTACAGATGATGAACTCGTTAATACGGTCGGGCTTGATTCGCGGAAGGGTATCTAGGGCCTGAGATGCCGCACGAATTTGAACTCGATTATTCGGAAGTTCAAGGGCTGAATCAAACTGGATCTCGGATTGGAAGTGACTCTGGCTTTCGCGTTGGGAGAGGGAATCGTCAGGGAGGAGGGATTGGAGCGCGTCTAGTGGTACCCCGTCTGTAGTTTGGAAGCTAGACGATGGATAGACTTCGGAGAGCTGAGACATAATGGATTTAGTAAACCAGAAGATAGTATATCAACTGAGGATGAAGATGATAGAGAACTTACTAATTTGTTTATACGAAAAGATGTTCAATGTTCTTGGGGTATCTGTTTGACCCTGTTGTATATGCTAGAATTGATGTATCGTTCTTTGTATCTCTTCGTATCCACCTATCGAGATCTTATTCGCTAGTATAGTAGATAACCCGAGAATTAACCCTCCCCGCACCTCAATACACCTCAAAGAGACCCTCAATTACCCCTGAACGCACCTCAATGCACCTCAATGCACCTCAATGCACCTCAATGCACCTCAATGCACCTCAATGCACCTCAATGCACCTCAATGCACCTCAATGCACCTCAATGCACCTCAATGCACCTCAAAGAGACCCTCAGTTTAAGAAAACATGTCGAACTGAGGGGTGATATTTTACCACTAAGGACAGAGTTATTCATCAAGTACCCATTCTCTCTTTGTCTCTGTATGGTAAACGGGGTACGTTCGGCATACCAGCGTCGTAACACGCTAGGAACGACTCCTGAGATCTGATAATGCTTCAACAGCAAGACCCAGATAGAACAACATCAATGCATCTCAATGGGACACCTCAATACTAGCACATACCAGTATCTGTCAATCCGACAAAACATTAAACAGGTATGGAGACCGTTTTTGGGCCCAAAAAACGAAGTCATCATATCACGTGACCATGTGACATTCACCAGAATGTCTAAGTCCAACAATCAGCATATTTAAACCGAATTTACGACCTAATCATATCATTTGACTTGAATTCTTGATAGCAATTTGATAGAAGAAGACTTAGCGGTTTCAATGGTATAAGAATGAGGGGATTTAAACTCTATATCTATAGCTTTCTTAAAAAATAGTAGTTCTAATCATGAAGATAAATATACTTTACAGTCTCTGCGATATATATATCCACAACTTTACATGCTGTTTTGCCGGTGACCTTCATTGACCACCTACCGCATCAATATTATTGAATATTACTTGAAATTCATATATGACCATGCCTGCTGTTTACTTTTGTATGATTATTACTTCATAATTCAACATGTTGATAGAGTATTCGATGAAATTTCGACTGGTTGACGGAACAGCTGTAAAAAACAGAGATGAATCATCCATTTTATCCAGCCAAAAGAGGAAAAGCGTCGAAAAATTATGCAAATGCGGGTTCATGCGGGTCGATGAGGGTTACCCTCCAGCGAACCTTCCGACCCTCAGGGTCGGTTGAGGTGCGAAAGTCTGCACCTGCACCTCCTGAGGTGCGGTGCAGGTTCTGAAATTTCGCACCGCGGGGAGGTGCAAAGCCAGGTCTAAAGTATGGCGGGTGGCATACTAGCTATTAAATTGAATTGAATTCCGAGGTTTCTGCCAGGCAGTATAAAAAAGTGGGTCCTAGGCCGAAGTACCGGAGGTCAAATACTAATGTTACACCACTGTAGCTGTGGTTATTGTAATTCAAAGTCGAACGTTCTGTACTGGTGACTCCCAGGTCGCGATCAGAGAGATGCAGATCTTTGTATCTTCTCACAAATTCAGCGATACGGTACGGCAAAAAATCAATATTGCTGGTTGGCGAGATATTGCGATCCCAGCCACACGCTATTTCCTCTGTGCGAGCGGTTTCTTCCCATCAAGTTGGACAAGACTAAGATGAGCCCTAGGTATGGTGATCCGCCCCACTACACCGCAAGTGTGGTTACCATTTCTAAAAATTATTTGAGGTAATGTTCATGCACAATGATAATCCCGATAGATATGAACCTGGCCGAGGATCTAGATAGAGAGATACCTTGCATGGCTGTATGGCCTTGACTTGCTATTATGAAACAAGCGCTTGAACCTAGCGGGGTTTTCCTGAAACCCAAGCATTTCAGCCTTGATTTCAGCCTTGATCTCATCCTTGATCTCATCCTTGATCTCATCCTTGATATCATCCTTGAGGCGTAGCGCATCATCCTCAAATACCTTCCAAGAATCATTGGCGACATCTTGTATTTCGAATCTACCATCCTCGATCTTTTCATCGACCTGTGCAAGATATTCGGTTTGTATGGTTTCGAATTCGTCAGAGATTTGATTACGGACAATCTCTTCGAAATTTGAGTCGCCTAGGTATTCAGGTATCGCGTTGCGCAAACGGTGAAGGATCTCGTCATGAAGATGCCCGGACATATTGACACCAAAGTCGTCAAACATCTTACAGACATGTCGTTCAAGCCCGGCTGGCAGTTTTTGATCCGTATTTTGTCGTAAAGCTAGCAGGTCACTGTGATTCGTTTGTCTAAGTGCTTCGATGATCGTCTCGTCAGTGGCGTCACGAAGTGCTTCTATGAGACGCGCGAGATTCCCATCATTGCTGCGACGAGGCGAAGCACGCTCAAAGTCGGTTTGGCGAATTGACGCGAGTGACGGTGAGAGGACACTCGGTGTATTTATTTCGGTGGGAGAGCCTGACCAAAGATCAGGAAACTCCAATGGGTGAAGCAGTCTTTTTCGGGTTCCATCGACAGATGAAGATGAGCCTGGATAAGATCAACAAGTTATCATTAGAAGACAAAGAACAAGAAGATACCTCTGCGCCGTTTCCCACCCTGGTCGGACACAGGCACCTCACATTGGGGATATGGGGGCAGATCCAGCTGCTCCGTCTGCGTGGGCATGGACGCCGCATAATCCGGGGGTCGAAAGTTGGGAAAGTTGCACAGATTACGAAACACATTCAAGCCTTCCTTTACCATATGATGGCTCTTGAAATCTTTTTGGCCAAGTTTTGGTAGAAGACTGCAAAGGCTTTTCAGGTCACTAAGCTCTTCACCCTGGAACTGCCGTTTGGCAATATGTAGATGCAGGTGTTTGGCTTCACAGATATCCGCAAATGCGTGGAGGTCCGAGTCTTGTGGATTGGCGAGGCATGAAAAGTCTATCCCGGCTGGACGTAGAATGTCTCCAGTGCTGCCGAGTTTCAGGCTCATCGTTGTGATGTTCGAAGCATCCCAGGAGGGAATATATGCAGGGTGCTCCTTGATTAAATCGAACGGGATCAGGCTATCGTTGCTTTGTGGAAATAGCTTACATGTCTCGATCGAATTCAGGGGGAAGTTCAATATCACCTGTGATTTGTTGCTCTGGTTAATAAGATCTGCTTCAATTAAAAGAGAAATGGACCCTTCTTGGTCGGTTTCATGATGGAAAACGCGAAGAAGTGCAATACAAAAAACACTCAAGTCAGGTGCATGAACGAGAACTTTTTTGTTGAAGCGCCTGGGCTTGTTTGGTGATGTGGTAGTCATTGTCGTTGGTAGTAATTCCGTTGTTGAATCGAGAAACGCTCTTGCCTGACCTTCGGAACATCGTTGGAGAGCCCTCGACCCACGGGAAATATCAGCTGAGTAAAGGGGTGAAAGCTCTTGCTGCCTGGTCACGAGCACAAGCCCGATCCTAAGTCGACGAGTAAAATCGTTGAATTTAGACCGTAATGGCAAGACTGGCGGCGAGGACAAAGAGCGGACACCGTCTTTACAGGACGATTTTAGAGGGTGATGGAGGGTGATGGAGGGTGATGGCGAGAAAGAGCGAAGGGAACGGGGAAGGGAGGCGGAAATGGGGAGGAAAGGGGAAGGCTGAGACGCAGGATTGAACCACGACACGTGACCGGCATTCTCCGGAAATATATATTCCCGCTTTCGAAATAACTAGTGTAACTCTCCATGTGCCAATCGGTACCTAACTTTAAGAGCAGAAACATAATCTGGACGAGCCAAGGTGGTTCCAGCTAAATATCTGGTCAATCAGGAGCACCAAACGATACGCCTCGTGGTTTCTGGATGGATTTCGCTGTCGCAGCTCGTCGTCGAAAGTTGATGATTTCGAGTCTCGCGCCAAGAGCGTGACGGTTTCCTAATCGAGATAGCGTAACGTGACGATTGTTTATTTGGGACTAGCGCTTGGCCATAAAAGGAGATTAAGATTGGGCTCGGCCAATCATACGGATTACATCTTTGAATCCCTGTCAAAATTGGTACGCGTTAGACCTCGCACCCGCCCGCGGGTCGGGCTGGTCTTTTGCCCGCCCTCACTATACGGCCCTCCAAACATTTTGAGGGCCGACAAACAAGACAAACATAGAAAGTCCTATGATTGCATAATTTATGCTGTTTCGACGGGAATTTATTTATTTATTTATTTATTCCTCAGGCTTTTCACGACCTTAGGTCGTATGTAGCCCCCTAGCTAGTGTGCACTGCTCCGTAGGGTATGTACATTTGATAGCGTCACCAATTCAGATCTTCCTCACGCTTCATTAGCCAACCGTCCCGTCTCCATTGCAAACGCGATAACGGTTTTGACAATCTTGATATCAGGTTTCCATGTTCTTCCACTCGGTTCACTCGCATCCTCTACAGTCCCAGGTTTACCTCCTAGCATCTGCGACAGACTACCGAAGTTCGGACCTGCGGCTTCAATCAGCGCGCGACGTTGTTCATTCCACCGTGTGCATTGAAGCAAGAAATGCGGGACTGTTTCACGCTCAATGCCACATTCGCACAAATCACTTTCGGCTTTGCCGATTCGGTGAAGATGTCCATTCAGCCGGGCATGTCCCGTGCGGAGTTGAGCTAGTATCGATGCTTTCTCCCGATCCAGACCATCATACAGCATCTTGGTGTGGGGACCTGGGAGCGCCGAATCCAGCTGGCGTGTAAACTGGCCAGTAGTCCACAGATGAAAGTTGTCCGTCTGGTGCTGTTTAGCATTCACCCGAGCCCATCGCAACGCCGACGCTCGGAGCTGGACTTGCGCCCAGGGCGGGGGGTTAACTTCGCAGTTCTCTTCTGTTGCTTCGCGTGCAAGGGTGTGTGCTCGTGTAGTATTCTCGCGGTCTTCATCAGTTGGTGGCTGTAGGCTGACCTTAGCCCCCATCTCCAACAGCTGGCCGACTGCGTCGGTGATCCTAATGATAAGAGCCTGTCCGCCTTGAAGATGCGGCTTCGCGAGCGAAAGCAGGACCGCAGGGTTGCTCACGACGATCATAACCTGGATTTTGTACGGTGACATCTGGATACGAGGGAGCATTGTCCTGACATACAAGACAGCCTCCAGCACCATCCCCAGCTGTGCGTAATGAGCATTGAGCGAGTCATCGTTGCCGACCGTCCGGTTTGACGAGACGATGTCGACTTGGTTAACGCGAACAACGAGCCCTGTTCCGACCAGACCATTGCGGACGCTGACACTGGTGAACAACCAGAGACGGGCATGGCTGGCCTCGTGCAACTCGTGCATGTTGGATCCGACGGTGGCAATCGACTCCCCGAGAGACCGTTGCCACGGATCTAGAGGGAAGGTTCGAATGACCTCCATGTCAGACAAGCATTGTGGTCCGTACTTCGCCAGTATTTTGAACGGCGACGGGTAACTCCCATCCTGCATTGTAGCCGCCGCTCGACAGGACCAGAAGGGATGGTCCTTTGGTAAGGTGTGGCAGACGATCCAATGCTTCAAGATGCGCGCTCGAAGGCGTACGACAGTCGGTTCAATCCCCGCTTCTGCTTCGGCGATGGCGAGGGCAGTGTTCCGGAACACGCCCACGATCGCCTGAGACGCGACCCGCTGGATGGCTTCGAACGGCCGTACGATTCCCGCCGCAACAGTAGCATCCTGTCGTATAGGGCACCACACCGATGCTGCGTAATCAATCTTCGACGCAACTGTGGAGCTGAAGAGCTGGCGAGCTACCGAAGGAGGCAAACCGCGCAGTCGTCTCAGTGCAAGCACGGCTTTCATTCCTTTATTCGCAGCCTTTCCGATTTGTGATTTGAATCGTAACCCCTGATCGAGTATCACGCCGAGAATTTTGACTTCAGGCACCGGGGCGACAGTCGCTCCATTCACTTGTAGCGGGACCGCGGGAAGTTGGCACTGCCGCGGGTTCCTCGTGAAGTGGATGAACGTTGTCTTCTCTGTCTCGAAAGCCGTGCCAGACTGCGCCGCCCATTCTAACGCTCGTGGGATGACTTTCTGCTGCAGTACGGCTGTACTCGTCTCAGCAGACGAGCCCGCCGTCCATCGTGTATAGTCGTAGACGAAAGCCATTGCTCCCTTTCGTCTGGTGATGGGGACATCCACCAGATTCGCATTCAGGAATAGAAAGAGAATAGGAGAGAGCGGCGAACCTTGCGGGAGGCCCGCGTGCTCGATGGCCATTTCTTCGGACTGGTACATATTTACGATGATCAACGCTCGTCGCGAGGAGCAGAAGCTGTCCACCCATCGGATTAGGACCTCTGGGATTCGTCGTTCTCGTAGCCTCCGCAGCAAGACCCCCCGGTCCACACCGTTGTATGCACCCTTGACATCAAAGCTACGAGACTAAGGACTTTGCCCTCGCGCCATGCATCGTGTATCTTTTCTATCAGGATGTTGAGCGCTTGTTCGCATGATCGCCTCCGGCGAGCCCCAAAATGATTCGGGGGCAGTAGCTGGTGTTTTTCGACGAGTGCTGAGATTCGGTTGGCGACGACTGCTTCTAGTACCTTTCCAAGCGTCGCTAACAGCGAGATAGGGCGGTATGATTTCGGCAACGATGGGTCACGTCCACCCTTGGGTATCACCACGATCTTAGCAACCTTCCAAGCGCTGGGGAAGTAGCCGAGTCGGAGTGACGCTTGAAGGAGTTCGACGACCCATTGTTTGACGGCAGGCCACATCTGTTGCCACACCACCACCGGCAGCCCGTCTGGTCCGGGGGCTTTCCACGACGCCATCCTCATCAGAGCCATTTCGATCTCGTGTTCAGTAATCATTTCCATCGGGAGGGCGTCCGGCAGCGACCTGTCTCGCGGCGGCTCATCCTGAATATTGGGCAGCGGAGGGAAGAAGGTTTCAAGGAGTATATGGGCCTTTCCCTGGTCATCATTGATCGTCTGATCACCTGAGCGCAGTGTGGGGACTATCCCCATGGATTGGTCTCCCGGCTGGAGGTATCGAGCCGCTTTCCAGATGTTGTCGGTGTTGTCGAGGAACCCTCTCCAATGCCGTCGCTTGGTATCACGGATTGCTCGGTGGTACTGTCTCCGTAGGTATAATGCCGTATCTTCCAGCGCAGCAAAGTCGGCTCCATATCGCCGGGCTTGCGTGCACCGATTTCGGGCCGATGTGTATGTGTCTCGCAATGCCGTTAACTTCGGAGTCCACCAGCGTTTGCCGTATGAGGATGGCCGCGCAACCGGGACTAGCTTGCGAATTGCTGAGCTGATCCTGCCAGTCAAGCGCCCTGCAGTCGCGTCCAGTTCCGAGCGGTCTGTAATATCTATGATCTCCGTCTCTAGGTCTCTCAACTCCCTGTTGATGTCGGCCCATGGAGCTTCACGGAATGAAAAGCGGGTTGTCGGGGGAAGCGTTGGTTGCGCTTCGGACTGGAAGTTTGTTTCAATTGCTCGGTGGTCTGATCCATGCTCAACGGGGTGGATGCGACACCGTGTGACCCGCCTGCTCAGATCTGTCGACGCAAGGACAAGGTCGATGGTCGACTGATATGGGCCTTCTTCTCGGGTGAAGATCCCTCGTGGCAGTAAGCTTGTTAGGCCCCAATCAGCCATGAGGAGCACAATTGGTTCCGCTTCACCCTGACGGTTCCGTGTTGCCACTTGATTTCCTCCCCAAAGCTGATCGTGGCGGTTGAAGTCTCCCACAATAAGGATATCAATATTGTCCCCATACTCGCACTGGACCCGTTGATGGGCCTCCCGGATTGCATCCAGCCCTTTAGTTAGTGCCCTAGTTCCTTCGCATCCTCTTCCTGGTGGGATATACACGGATATTGCTAGAGTTGGCGAGGGTGTAAGTAGCAGTACGGCAGCAATGTCAGCTGACGCAATGTCGATCTGTCTATGTGGGGAGGTCTTTTTGTTCACCCAGATCATACTACGGTGCGGCCTCAGCCCTCCGGATGGCGGGTGCCGCTGTGAGGGCCAGAGTGGTGTCCAATTAGCATGTGTATGGGAGCATACTGTGTCGTTCATCAGAAAAAGATATGGTTCCGAGATGATAAGCAGATCGCAGGATTGCAACGATCGGTCGTTCAGGAGACTCAGTTGGGTCTCTGGGCCCTTTCTCAGGTTGGCCTGCAGCACGCGCAAAACTCTACTGGCTACCATTGTGTAGAGAGTCTGTCCGTCTGGCTGTCATCTCCTGCTCCCGCTGGCGGATAACTTTCCACGCTTCGTCCCATTTCGGGCAGTTCCGGTCATTGACGGCGTGATTGCCCTGACAGGCAGCGCATTTGGTAGAATCGGATGTGCACTGCTCGACGCGATGGTGGCCTGCGCACTTGCCGCAAGCCTCGGTGTTTGGGCACCGGTCTTCCTTATGATTATACTGTTGACATTTGCGGCAACGCAGCGGTCGCTGTCGCTCATAGAACCTGTCCGAGAACGCTGCTTCTCCGCGGACGTGGACGATGCGACGACTGAGCAGGGCCTGTGCATCCGCCTGTGCAGCAAGGTAAATGGCCATGGATCCATAACGTTTCTTTCCACTTAGCCAGATGATTTTTTCTGATCTCCGTGACTTTGTTCTCCTCTTGGAGGGTGCTCAGGAAGTCCTCTCGCTGCGTCCCCGATGTCTCAAAGACACTTTCTCTCTTCACATCATTCACTTTGATAGGGAACCATTGCTCCCCTTGTAGTTTAGCCCCAGGCATGGCGTTCAGCCAGTGTGTAGCTCTTCGGAGGTTCGCAACACTTTCCTCCGAGCCGACAAAGACTTTGATCGTGGTTTTCGAGGTAGTTTTAACCCCCACAACGTCAACGCTCGCAGTAGTTGTCTCACCTTGAAGTGCTGTACGGATTTTCTCCCGTGTCTGCGCGGGGTCGTCTACCAGTGTCTTGGCCCCTTCTCCGGCGGAGCGTAGGTCCAATATTACAGCAGGGAGGCCGAGTCCCACACGCGCAGCCCGGGTGTTAGATGAAGCTAACGATGATTGCGAAACGATGGATGCCCAGCTTCTCCCTGGGCTGCTAACCTGAGTGCTCGGTGGTGAAGAGGAAACGTTCACCGACAGAAACTGGACGAGCTCTTTTAGACTAGCAATTTCCTTCTGCAGTCCATGGACCTCCTTTCGTGATTCTTCCAGTTCCTTGCGGTACAATGCGTTCTCGGTGGTGATCGCCGTCAGTGTCTTTGCGTATGCTTCTGACATGCGATCAACACGAATCATCAGTTCGTTGTTTGCCCGCAACAGCATTTGAAACTCGGTAGGCGGCTGCTCCGACCCTTTATCTGGTCCATTAGAAGCCTCCACTCGTCTTCTGCCTGCATCGTTCTCGTCTTCGCCCGCCACGGTCACTGGCACCTGGCGAACTAGGCCTGACCTCGTGGTGGGTAGAGCGAGTGCTGTATCGGGAGCGGGAGGGCCAGACGCGTCGTCGGACGCGTTCCCTCCGCGCTCGCTGCGCTTCCCCGGCATTTTGCCTCGCGGAAGAAGCTGGGTGAGGTTGATTAATAGATTTGGGAATACTTACCTTCCTTTTTTTTTTTCTCTGGTCGGGGGTCCTTTCGAAATGGGTTTCGTCTCGTTTAGGCATTCGTTCCGTCCGATGGTGAATTACGTAACCGTTTGTTATTCTGCTGAGTCATCGCGTTATGCAGAGAATTTATGCTGTTTTGGGCGGCTTTGGACACTTTTGGACACTTTGGGTAGTCCACGGACGGACACCTAGCCTTCAGTCCAAAGTAGGTCCAACCAAAATGTCCCTATGGACGGGTTTTGGGGAGGTCTAGCTGCTTTTCTTTACCACCTGTAACTTCGGACGGTAAGCTTCGTTACCCCTTCCCGTCCCTGGTTTTGTTGATGATTTGTTGAATGACCGAGAGTACTGACACTTTCAAAGCCAAGCGATAGTTACATTTCGACCTACCCGCCCTTGTGTTTGCGGTGACGGCAGCGGCAACTCATGCCAGACAGGTGTTTTCCCAGATGCTCATTGAATGAATGGAAACCGATCCCCATGGCGAGCATGGCATCCGCAATATCTTTGAGCGTTCAAATAATTCGGGATTCCAGATAGGTGTGAATTAGGGCGAGGTCACTGTGCACTTCCTCATGCCTATCGAAGAGATAAAAGAGACAAATACTAGGCCTGTAAGTCAACAGAAAAGCCCAGTCAATGATTCCGCTGGACCACTGGTATTATTGATTACATGGCCTCGAGCTGATGAGACCTTTTGGGTCTTGCCTTGGTCAATTCAGAAGCCGTTTTCATCGAAGTTATAAATATTTTTTGGTGCAATCTTGTACGAAATCATCGTAGCTTGTAGGCGATCGTACCATGAAACAAGAACACCAGGTTCAACAGGTGCATAGCGAGCCTTCTCTATCGATTCTTGATTCAGATGCTTGAATCGTGGTGGTAAGCGACCGATAAATTCATATCCCCAGTTTCTTCCCCGGTGTACGGGATGGATCATAGCGCTGCCTAATTTGCTGAGCACAGGACAGAATATGGAAGACAGACAGCGGAGAGTAAGCAGCACCAAGTTTATCAATCCATAGTATTACTGCCTTCTCTTGGTCGGATTAAGTGCTTTATTGGGCCCATCACGCTTATTTCTTGATTTGTTTCCATCATTACGGCGTTTCAGGGTGTTGCGATTAACGCCGTATTTCCGGGCGAGGGCTGTGACGTTCGGCTTCAAAGTTGAATGGTATGCAGATATAGCATTACCAATTCTTTCTTCCAAATTTGGATCCATAATATTGGAAATCAAGGTTGTTACAGAATTTTGAAGTTGGTGGGATGAAAAAGATGTCCATTAGACCCGGGAACCCGTACTACGCGAAGGTGTACAGGTTCGACGGCCCATTTACATCAATTCCTCATCCTGTCACGCATACTTAAGGAACACACACTAATTGTATCTTACCACGGTACAACTACCCCTATGGGCTAGAAATCGGAACACCAGTCATGAGCGAGGCAATAACCTTAGGGCCCAAAACGTCTTCAAAGTTGACCCAAGACATGAACTGCTCAGACCTGCCACCGTCATCTTTGGCTATCTCCTGAATTGGAGTTTTGTTCTTGCAAAAAATTTTAAGTTCCTTGCAAGCCACATCACCGTTTTTCTGCAGATACGCCTGCATGATATCGCCACAGCTTACAACAATTCGACTGGTTATCTGACGACCATCGTTCTTGGGCATCATTCCCATGCCCTTTGCATTCTGTGCAGAACCTCGTGCAACATGATGAACCAGTATCACAATATTCGAAATAAAAGACTCATCAGGCATGTAATCGGGAGTGAAATACTGCACGAACTTATGGTGCTCCTTCGCCTTGATCTCTCTGAGCAACTCCAAAGAGCGCTTATGCATGCCGAAGTAATTAAACAAAATCACAGGCTCTTCTTCGAATAATCTGCTCTTAACGAGGGCGAGGAGTTGAATCGTGCCGATGTGGTGAGTGTCGGCCCACTTTCGTTGGAGCAGGTTCTGAGGATTCGTAGGCTGAATCTTCTTGCTGGTGGCTTCGAGGCTGGACTCCTGTGATAGCGTGTCCAAAACCTTATCGATGTTTTTGATTCCTTCTTCTTCTTTCTGAAGGCCAATGACATACTGGCCACAGAACAGGTTCGCAACAGTAGTGGTTGGCTCAAGGATTCTGGAATTCTTTCCGTTGGGACGTTGAAAGTCGCTCCTGTTGCGCGAATCGCGAGCAAACTTGGTAGCCGACGATATGCCAGTCGCAAGCTCAAGCCTATTCAGCGACTCGCTAGCATTATTTGGTCGGCTACCGATGAAAATATGAGATTCGCCATGTATTTTTATGAACGCTTCCATGTCAGGCCAGCTCAAATGCGCGTACGTCGGTGTTTGCTTGACAAGATTGTACAAAAATGCTAATTGTTGGACATCGTACCATTGTGTCACAAGCTGTTGGCCGACGGATTGCATCCTCATGTTGATATGGAACATATTCACACCACAAAGGATAGCATGCTGGGAGAATAACGCATGTTTTTCGGGAACATGACCTTGGGGAAGAACATTAACTTTCACCACGTAGATGGGATCCTCAATTATGCAAGACTCCACCGTTGAGTGCAAATCCTTAATCTCTTCGTCTCCTTCCTTTGGCCAGAACTTTGGCTGGGGGTGTGATTTAGAGAGATTCAAATATTCCGCGATTGTTCTCTGAATTCGCAGCCCAGACATGCGAAGGTCTTGGAATGCACCCAGATGGCTGTGGCGCATGAGATGATGAACATCAAGCAGAATCTGAGATGCAAAGCAGAGCCATGGAGTAACCGTTTTGGTTTTACAAAACTCCACCAGTCCCCTGGTAAGCACATCTGAGGCAGGCATTTGGATGTTATAACCGATGATGCAGAATTCTGGCAGCAGCTGAAGCAAAATGATTTTGTCTTCATTAAATTTCTGGCCCACGGGCATCTTTTCTCTGTTTGCCCTGGGGTCATAATTACCGAAGTACCCTTTTTTGAAAACAGGCAGGTCGATCTGATGCAGAACATCTGCGAATGAGTTCAGGAGAACCAGGGTTGGGAAGTAGCACCATTCAGCTACATCTGCCATGTCTCTGTTGTATGGCAGGCCGATATCAACGGATGGAGTCGGCATGATGCCTCGGCTCATGCAGGAAGCGTTGAAAACCACTCGCTGGAGGCTATCCGAAGGGGTGCCATAACTGTCATAGTCGTCCATTACCTCCTGTACAAGATCACGCGCAAGCTGCAAGGCACCATCGGTCACAACAGCAGCATTCATGAGATCAATCTTCTTATCGCGATACTCTGACCAAGTCTGAGAAATGAATGCCCGCATATTATGCAGATCCCGGAACAAGCAGAGTGTCTTGAATAACGTATATGCCAATACTGCGTCCGCTGCGTCTTTCTCTTCCTCTTCATTTTCGACAAGCTCCACCTGGACAATTTGCTGGGATTCGGGAGACGCGTATTGGCTCAGCTCCGATTCTTGAGGTTCCTCGACCGTGAGGACAGCGAATCTGTTAAGAAACATGTCAAGTTCGGCGTCATCTCCATCGTAGTCAGCTTCCGGAGGTGGTTTCCGAGCATCTTGATTGGCAGATTCGCTAACCTTCCACTTCAGGGTTTCGCAAACCTTCTCTAGCGCGGAGATAAAATGTTCGTGGCGCTTATTATCCTCGGAATCACCCTGACCCAAGAACCAAGATGTGACCTGTCGCCTCAGTTTGATGGCTCGTTTGGCAATGACAAGAATTTGCCTCGGCACAACAAGGGTCGACTTGGCAACGACTTCAGCGAGCATTTGAAGTTCCTTGATGGTGGCATTGTACTGAATAGGCTCAGTGGAAGCATTTGCCCCATCATTCTTGCTCTTGGCTTTGGACTTTCCCTTTCCCTTCCCCTTTTTCAATGAAGAGGGGATTGAAGCGAGGCCGTCCGGTCGGTGACCACATTTGGTAGCTGCCTCGAGTAACCAGGTTGCAAAGCTGTTTGTATCATCCTTGTAGCGTGTGTAGCTGCTTTGCAGGTATTTGGGCAACATGACGATCGTTCGGAGTTGGGTGTTGAGAATGGAGGCATTTGCAGCGGATGAAACTGGCTACTGGAGGTTGGGGTGCGGATACTTGGGCACCAACTTTTGCTACCCGGGCACCAAAAATCTTAACGTATTTCCCGGTCGGGCTGCGCACCCGGCCGAGCTGCGCACCCCACCAAAAACGCGTCAATTAATTAGACCTTCCTTCTTTAACCACCTACTATGCCACCAATTCGCACGCAATCCTCTCGAAATTCAATTGGACAAGAGGGTAGGATCTTATTAGCTATTCAGGCTATTCAGAATCACGAAATCTCCTCTATACGCGAAGCAGCGCGGCGTTTCAATGTACCCGAATCAACCCTTCGTACGCGTTAGGCTGCGGCAACATCCTCAATATCCACGGATATCCACATATCCTCTCCGCAGATTGCGGATATAGTATGTCACCTAATATCCGCAATCCTCAATTTTGTGGATATGGTATGCAACCCAATATCCTCTGGATATTTGAGGATATCCAATGGATATAAAACAGGCCAAACATGCCAAGTCTCATGACCTTTTTGAGCGTGCATTATTTATGCGGATTCTATTGTATTTTTCAAGTACTCATAGTGTAATCATTATTGAAGATTTTAATTTGGTAAACAAAATTGTAGCATATTCATGTTACGCAGACTATCTGAGATCAAACTGAAATCCATCAGGTAATCTTGGTTGCTTCCGAATCCGCCCCGACCGTCCTTGTATGCCCTCATCTATTAGCATTTCTGGAAGGCCATCGTCATCGTCATCGGAAGCCTCGGATAATCGTTTCCTTGATCGTTTAAGCTGTAGTTGCTTACTTCGATTATCAGTCTCCCCGTCTTCTGAGTTCTCATCGTAGCTTTCTATCCGTTGTGTATCCTCAATGCCTAGCTCTTGTTCCTCCTCTTCATTATCACTAATAGGCTCGACAGTTTCAAGCTGGGGTATTGGTTTCCGAGCTTGATCTAACAATACAGCTTCTCCGGCGGAAAGATGCTCCTTTATAACCTCAAACTCCTTCTGCTCAACTTCAAATTTAGTGGCGAGCTGATGAAGCATCAATCCTCGGATCGTACTTGGTTTCAATTGGCCACGACGATAGTGGCAGATATCGCGAGCGCAATTGAATAATCGCTCAACGCCTGCACCACTAGCTGGGATAGAAAGAATATCCCGTGCCATTCTTGCAAGAATAGGAAACTCGTTCTCATGCTCTTTCCAGAATGCTCGGGGCTTTTGTCTCTCAATCCCGCGGGCAAGATACCTCGCAATCTCATCATCTTCAGGCTTTGAGAGCTTATCCTGTGGCTGGTTCTGAGAAGCGCAAGCGGTATCAAGATCATAATAGTCGTCATCTCGGGCCTCTCCAGTGGCATCTTGCACGACCATAGTATCTGAATCATGATGAAGCATATCTTTATATCGATGAAACTCTCGCTTAAGGACTCCATGGTAGTGTTTGACGTAGTCAATTTCACCTTGCCAGTCTGTTGATGCAAAATATCGAAGCTTTTTTGATGGGCAAAGGATCGTTGCAAGTGCATATATTTCACCGTACGATTCATGATCAGTAGCAGTGTAATACTTTGATAGCTTCTTCTTTGCAGTCTGAAGAGCCTGGAGCATACTCTTCTTCCAGATAACCCCTTTATTCTTCAATTTTCTCTCAGCTTCATCAAGGTGAGAGAAAAGCTTGTTATAAATACTATAGATGTTATGTGTAGTAACATCCCTAGTCTTTGATAGCATAGTAGTGAAGTCAAAGAAAGGCTTGGTAAGAAGAAGAAGATATTCAATCTGTCGCCACTCTTCTTGATCAAGTTTGAAGTGGAGATATTGATGATGTGTACAATACTGATCATAAAATGGTTGTAGCCTTTTAGCACGGTTAAGCATCATAAAGGTTGAGTTCCATCGGGTTTGGACATCTTGGATAGGGATCAAACGAGGCTCCTTAGTTTGCAGGGCCATAAATGCCTCCCGGCGTTGTGGGCTTGCATTAATAAACACAGCAAGACCTCGGATCTTAGACTTTTTATTAGTATGAATTAAAAGACTAAGGATGAGAAGTAATTCACCTTTTTTAGAGTATCCGCAATTTGTCTAGTTGAGCTAGATTGTTTAGTCTGAAATGAATGGGTTCGTTCATCAGACCACTCCAGCTCAATCTCTTTATTCGGTGGCGTCACTTTCAGCTTCCCAAGAAGCTCATTCAAGCTTAACTGGATCACATGCGCAATACATGGAACTCGGAAGATCAACGTATCCGATCGGCTTTGTGACTGAATTGTCTCTTGGATATTCATCATCAGGGTGTTATTATTAGTTGCATTATCTGTGGTCACGGATAATACGCGGTCGGTGATTTCATGATCAGTCAGAAGCTGAATCACGGTCTTACTTAGATTCTCACCCGTATGTGATCCGTGAAGATGCTCAAATCCAAGAAGAACTTCACAGTAATTCCAATCTTGATCAAGGAAATAACCTGTGACAGCCATAAATGCTTGCTGGAATGGCGACGTCCAGCAATCAAGGGCTATTGAAAGGCGACTCCTATCTGGAAGCCTTCTAAGAATCTCTTTTTGGCTGCTTTTGACTGTGGAGCCGAGATAACGCCGCATACTTCGCGCAGATGGGATATTGACCTTGCTCGGGGCTTGTTGGATAACCTCTACTAGATCCTTGAATTGGGTATGCTCAATGATTCGGAAAGGTAGGTGAGCGGTAGAGATAAAGTCTAGTATCGCTTTTGCTAGACGCTCCTGGGAGAAGGATGGGTTTTGTGGGAAAGTCGGCTTTAGGATAGTATATAAAGATAAGTAAGAGAGATATTGAGAGTCCAGGTTATAGATGAAAAACATACCATTTGTTTGAGCATCTGATCAATCTTCTGGACAGGCTTCCGAGTACAGGAGCCTGCCTTGATATGTGCATTCATTGGCGATGAACCAGCACGGCGGAATCTTGGATGAACAAGGGTACAGAGACATGTTGTACACATAACTTTTGGCTTGCCAGTCTTTTCATGTGCAACTTGATTGAAGTTATCCCATATATTAGACGTCTTTTTTCCATCCCAACGGATAGAGTCTTGTATATCTGGCTTTGATCCAAACTCTGTGTTTAGCCACCAAGTTACAAAGCTCTTCCGGGATTCATCCATCTCCCGACTAGGCTTAGAGGAATAGAGGACCCAGTACTGCTGAAGAGGGGGGCCAACACGAGGAAGCGAGAGAGGTGCAGTTAGAGATGAAACTTGCGACACAGATGTCAATACAGTCTGGCTGCTAATAAGAGCGGATATGTCATCGGAATGAAGTATGTCGGGATTCAGACCTAGATCTGAATCGGCGTAGAAGGAGTACTGGGACTGAGATGCCTGTGAGTAAGACATATTGTACTTGATCACGGGTTACCTAGGAATAGGCATTAAGAGAAAAAGAGAGAGAGAAACGTACATGTAAGACTAGCTGGGAGTATCAGGGGTATAGCAAACAAAGTCACGACTCACGGGCGCGTTTTCCACATATCTTGAACTTTCAATGGCGATGATTGGCTGTTACTAATCACTAGTGCGGATATTTGAGGACAATTGAGGATATCCGTGGATATCCGTGGATATCTGTGCGGATATCCGCTATATATCCTCAATTATCCTCAGGCATTGATTTCAGGGAAAATAAATCAGAAGTCTATAATATCAGAGCTTCCGACCAAGATTTCTTCATAATGTTATACAAATTACACTTTAAGAAGTTAATACACTTTTAAAGGTAGATCAAACCATTTTTTTCATATCGAGCTTATTAGATTCAACAGATAAACAGCGATTTCAATCGTATCTACTGAGTTCAGCTAAAATATTCTCTACTACTATATAGAGTAAATATATATTTCTACCGCACTCTAAGTTTGGCCACTGCTAGACTATGCGCGAAGCTAACAATACTGTCGATATCAAAAGTCACCGCTGTCGGGCGTTCTAGCTAGTGGTCGGCTGCAAGGCAGAGGTAGACTAGACGAGTGTTAGGCGTGACTAAACTAATCCCGGTATAGATCTCGCGTTTTCGGGTTACGCTAGTCTTTCCTACTAGGTTTTCCTTGCGTCTAGCTATTGTTGCGGCACTAAGAATATCGGGGTATCCTCTATCTGCCTAGATCTAGTCTAGATACTCTCCTAGACCGAGATACTCCGTATATTATATCTTATATTCACTCTCCTGCTACGTATAGCACTAGCGGCAGTAGCTATAGTGTTATTAGAGCTAGTTAGTAAGAAGCTAGGCTAATTAAGAGATAGCCGTATTAGTTATTACGTCTTCGGTTTAATTAGGAGGTAGAACTATAAACGGCCTAGTCGCTTAAACCGGAATTTCAGTTACCCCTAGTATAAGACTGGCTTAGGTAGTCTCTTCTTATACACTCTCTAGAGAGATTGCTTAAGTAGGACTATTGGCTATATCACTTATAGATTCTAGTAGTACCCTATTATCTATCAGCGGAATATTAGGTATCGATAAGTCCTATAGTAGAAGGTCTAGGCTAAGAGCTAGTAGAAGTTGCTTAACCTCGGTCGCGATAGAAAGTTCCCCTAGAGGAAAATAGCTAAACGATAGTTTATTGATATCAGTGGATAGGGGTATTGTGGCGGAATAGTGCTAGTCGAATTGCTAGTCACGATATATAGCGCGGGTAAACTATCGCCAGTTCCGCTGTTGCGTAGTATTTAATATTTGTTTTGCCTAAGTAGACGTATATATTCGCGGTCGTCCTCGTTTTCGTGTTAGAGCGTCTAATAGTGGTGCTATAATAAGCTAGTAGGGGTATTCTCGATACGAACTTCTACGGCGAGAAAGGCCTCTATTTTTTCAATGATACGAATAGGGGCCCCGAGAAAATCCAGTTAGCATAGCAATCGAACGTAAAATCGAATCTATCAGATAAAAGTAAGTTGTGTTCCGAAAGAGGTTTAGTTTTGACCACGAAATTCGAAAAGGGTTTAGTTTTGACCACGAAATTCAAATAGGTTTAGTGTATGCTTATATCAGCGCATTGGCCTCAAATATGATCAGATTCAAACGACCATAACTCTATGAATATTCAAGTTATCAAAATAAACGTTGAACATTCGGCATGCCACGGTAATTCTCTATAAGCAAAATATATATTTAAGCTCTTTTAATGCATGGTTGCGGTAAGTCGTGGTCATGATTTCGTATATGGTTCAAACATTCTATCTGTCTTGATCACCACATAGTAATGAAATGAGGCACAGGTAAAACGACTGACTATCTGTGCACAATGAACCTACAACCTGACCACACAACACGCGCCAACAAAGTCCCAAGAATGTATCAAACGCCAGAATCATACTGACTTACATCATCCGCATGCACATATTTGTCCCAAGCCTTACAAGTCGAATTCAGCGATGCCATATCGTATCCAATTTCCGATTCACGTTCGAGAAGCTGCACCGCGAAGCCTTCGGAGGTGTGCCAAGCAATGTGGCAATGCATGAGCCAAACCTTCAAATCTTAAAGTCAGCAGTGTAAAGAAGCTTATATGCCAGGGAACAACTTACCCCGGGGTTGTTCGTCTTCAAAGCAATAACAATATACCCACTTGCCGGTAGCATAACAACATCACGACGCGGGGCATTGACCAAGGTCAAACTGTCAACCATGCTGCTATCAAAATTACCATAACCAGCCTGCAGAAGCCAGAAGTCGTGTCCATGAAGATGCATGGGATGGTCTTGAGCGAAGGGACTATGAATGACGAAGTAAACCCACTTGTGAGCGGCGGGTAGTTCAATCAAGCGCTGACGTGATAGCCAAGTATCATTGCCCTGAGCCACTTGAAGCAGAGTCGGATACTCCCACTGCGTATGCAAAGAGGTACCGTTCATGAGCCAAAGCATGGCGTTATCGGTGACCTGCACTTCCACATTCTCCCCCGTCTTGTACGTGTATGTTTCGGAGGCGTCGACTTTCAAATAAGGAACGAGGTTTGAGGGATTTTCGTCGGCGCAGGAGTCGGTATAACTATAGGCAGATGTAGTGGGGTCCGCAGTGGATGAGTTGTCATAGCGAATGATACCCTTCACCTTATCGGTGGCGTCGGTCTCCGAGCATGCAGACTGTGGAATAGCGCGCATCCAAAAGTTGCCTGATTGAAGTTGCTTTCCACTTACGATCACATCATAGCGCTGACCCATTCCCATACTCAATTGTGTTGCGTTGAAAGGATGGATTGGAACGAAATCGTTGGCGATCACCTCCATGGTATGATTGTCGATCATAAACCGGAAGTGCTGGTCTGCAGCGGCATTGACCAGGCGAAGTCTGTACCGTTTACCGGCTTCGAAGACTGTCTTGAATCGCGATCCTTCGTCGTTCCAGGTGTTTGTACCGTTTATTAGCCCATTGGGGGCGGTTGGCGGGCCGCCCGTAGCGGCTTGGAGAACCAGTCGGTCGGCTGTGGTCTGGGGTTTCGATCAGCTTGATTCCCTTCAGAAGACTTTGGTCTCATTGACACTCACATGATACCAGTCATTTAAGAAAATATGGCCAAGATCGACATCGTAGTTAGCGGTGGCAGGTCCATTGATCTGGATTCTAGACGGGAAAAGCTGATCAGTACTCCTTTCTGGGTTCTCCTCGCTTTCGTCAAATTCAAGACTCACCCCCCGAAGACACCATTCCAGGCCTGGACATAGAAGTGGGAGTGATACCAGCCAGTACCATATTCGGTCGCACGCCATTTATAAGTGTAAGAGTCACCGGGGGCCACAGGGCACTGGGTGATACTCGCAACACCATCCATGTGGCTTGTCCAGTTCTGGCGAATGCCATGGAAGTGGAGACTCGTTCCGTTGGCCTGGAGAGAGTTTGTCACATGGACGACTAGGAGCCCAACATTAGCACCACTTCTTGATTCCGGTCAACCATCTTCTCAATCCACGTACCAACTTCGTCACCCCAGTCTGCAATGATGGTTGGGCCGGGCAGGGACCCATTGATGAGCTGTACGGGAATCTCGACACCATCGGGGGCAGCGGTTGTGTTCTCGATATTGAACCAATATTCGCGAGTCACACCGGTGTTGGGGACCTTCTCATAATAGTTCGTGGTGATATCGAATCCATTACCCCAGTATTTGCGATTGTTGGGGCTGTTTAACAAACCTGTTTCGCGTGTATGTTTTGAGGGCACCGAGACACTGAACGCGGTGGAAAGTGAAATGAGCGACGAGACGAAAAGGAATAAAAAACGCATTTTGGCCTGATCGGCCGGGTGGTGATATCAGATGCGAGGAAAACCAATATGCAAACAAGGAGATCAAACGAATGAATGGATTGAAGGGAAGAGAGAGGTAAGTTTCCAGGATCGCGCTGGCCCAATTTTGTCTTATAAACGATTTGAGCAAACACAAGAGTCTCAAGGTCCGAGCTAGAACTCTCTTTTTAGCTAACTGCTGCTAGACCCCACTAGAGATCCGACAGCTATTTTCTAAGTCCCCATCCAAGGGATCCTCGTCGAAAATTCCCGTCTCGCTCATCCACGGTCGAAATGGAATTTTGAATCCATTTGCGTGGCCAGATCACAGCCTCCATTTCTGGCTCGCTTCCCGACTTCCTTGTCAATAATTGGTTGAAGCGGACCTACGCAATGCATCAATTATATCCATGGATTTTTCAACTTCGAATGCTACGAACATGAAAGCCGCAAAAGCCGTTTGACAGCGCCATCCTAAGCACCTACATGAGTACCCTCTTAAATCGGTATATCCAAAACATTGGTATTCTTGAAAAGGGAAAAGGATCTACAAATCGCATTACCCATACATTGTTATTCAGCGGACAACGTCCTCCGACCGATTAAGTTCGCTCGACGGGGTTCTAAAATCGATCATGGATACCCCTTTTCGATAATCATCGGGATCTCTCTACTACTATCTCACGACAAGCTCGGGTTATGTCCGATCTGCAATCCGGATTTCCGCTAAAAAGGGTATTCGGCCATGACGGTGCTTGTCATCTCTGTAAGGCTGACTCTAATTTAGCCTTTTCTAGGTCCTGATCCAATGTGGAAACAGATAGCGTAAACATAAATGCACGAAAACTGGAATATTGCGCCACGGCTGACGAAAGACTCGTACGAAAGCTTGCTTAAAAAGGACGCGATCCATGATATACCGTTCCAGGTGGTTCCCAAGGCTTGTTGGTCCTGCATGGTGGGGCGGCAGATCCCCCGCGAGCCACTCTTCATGCGGCTGTTAAAACATTATCCCGTCCCAACCACGTCACCAACAGGCTTTAAGCATTTCATCGGCGGGGACCACGTACGACTTATAAATAGAGTACAGAGCTTATTGTAGCTCCGATAGATAGCGGGTCGCGTGCCAAGTTGGCGGAACCATGCCGTCCTACATCCGGTGAGTCTAGGCTGCTATATATGAGGGCGACAATTTTGCTCGGCGGTGACTCGGAGAAACTAGGAAATTGCCAGTGGTCCGCGGCGCCAGTTCACACAGAATCAGGAGTCTATTCATTTGCTATTGTTTACCACTTGTCCCCTGACCCTTTTTGATTTCAAGGTTCCGTCGTTCGAAAGGTTTCTCCAAGTCAATCTCACGAGATTTCTGAAGTTTCGTTCTCATCCGACACATCATATCTTCAAAGTTACCTAGGCCGTACACTTCTATTCGCACGAAGAAAAGTCCCTACTTTGAAACTTGAAGCATGCGTTTCTTCTCCCTTTCTTTGGCATTTCTCATGCCAATTGCGTTTGCTTCGAGCATTCCTCATCTACACGCCAAGCGAGGTGCCGAAACAAACGCGACACTCTATGCGTACGGAACAAATGCATCTTCCTGGCCCGTTGCATATGGACAGAGCGATGGTATGACGATCCTACCCTAGGGCAGAAACTCCCAGAATGAATTATAAGACCAAATTTGTTTAATCTGCGTTCCTTTCAGGCCTTCTCTACATCACACAAGATCCCACCGCAACTGCAGGTCTCGTCCCTCTAACCTGGGACCTGGCATCGATCACCGGGGAATGCTGGATCGCCAACGCAACATTCGTCAATGGGACAAAAGCCGGGTCTATGTACATCATGGAGCAGAAGGACTATGCTGTCGGTATTCTGCCACAGACTCGGGTAGCTTACTTGAACGGCACTGTGTCCGGCTTCGCGCTGTTTGCAACACAGCTCGTGTATAACAATAACACACTGCTTGAGGCGCAGTTCTGGGCTTCGGCGACCAACACCAGTGGTGTTTATGGCTTGGTGTGGACTCTCGATGACAGTACGCCAAATGGGGAGTTTCCTGTTGTTGTCAAGGCTTCGGAAGATTCTTGAGGGACGATATGACTGCCGCATCTCTCCTTTAATAATAATTGGGCGGTGGTGATTCTAGGAAGGTGCTCAAGAAGCAAATAATTTGTATGACCTCCAAGTTCATCGAGGTTTCCCTGTCCTCTTGGTAGCGATAGTGAAACCGATAGGTATTCAATTGCAAGTCATCCAGACGAGGCAGAGCTTTAGCAAACGTTGAGACGGATATCATTCTGACCTATTTCTCCTACTACATGGCCAGCATCGGTTAGTATAGGGGCCATTGAGAACTAGTCTTTTGGAAACATAATTCAAGTTCCAAGGTTGGCAGGTCCGAATGCAGTCTTGCACCATAGAAATATACTAGTATGTTTTCCACATCACTTTCCTCATTCTTCTACAACTTGAACCTTCAGGTTGGAAGTAATGTCAGCATGATGTTCAATTTCATGAAATGAGCCCGTAATTGGGACGCTGATTCATTTTTCTTTCCTTTCTTCACTGCGTGGCGTCATTTTGGTGTCTGGGATCGTAACTGGATTGGACAAAAGGAACCTGTGAGCCCTGGAGGTTTTTCATTGTTTCCGTAACTACTTTCCCGCCGTTCTAGCGTATATTTTATTATATCCTAAATGTTGAGCAAGAAAGATGGCGGACCAGAGCTCTTGATCCTATACTTGGCAGCCCCATGGGACCTAATGGGTCTCCCATATGGTCCCATGGGAGTTGGCGAGATCTAGGCCTCTGCATGGTGCGGTCTTGGTCCTCAGGTCGAGGACCGCGGACCGGACCGCACGGTCTTGCGGTCTCAAATTTGGAGGTTAAGACCACACCATAGTGAACCGCAATTGCATAATTCTGCCAAGACCTTCCCTTTTCAGCTGCATAAATTGATCATTCATCCCTTTTGATTACTGTTATTAAACACTGTTTTGGTCCCTACTTCAACATTTGCGGTATTTCAGTATCAACTACTATGAAAACAGATGAAATATACTCGTATGTAGAAAATTTAATATTCAAGATGTTTAGCCCTGCTAACACAAGTATATGCTTTTTGTTCTCATAAGGAGGTGTAATAGTATTTGTTGCTGGCTAGGTATATGAGGTAAGAAACATATATATCCATGGCAGTACCTCATCCCATCTTCACCCTAGACTTCTTCACTAGATATACATAACCCCTTGTGTATAGCTAGAATAGGTATTAAGGGTATCATTAGAGTGCTTAGATACTGTAGATCACATTTTATCTCGAGATTCTACATTCTGCTACCAATTAGACCTGGCTACGACCCTCCGCATGGGTCCCTACCCCGGACCCTCGAACCTCCCCTCTTGAGGGGAGGTTCCAGCCTTCCGACCCTCAACCTACCCTGAGGGTCGTTGAGGTTCACTATGCGGACCCTCGGCGACCCTCAACGACCCGCATTTGCATAAATTTTCCACGCCTTACCTCTTTTGGTTGGATAAAATTGATGATTCATCTCTGTTTTTTACAGCGGTTCCGTTAATTTGTAGATATTTCACTGAATACACCATCAATATAATAAATTATAAACAAATATTCATGTAAAAGTAAACCGTAGGCATGGTCACCTACAAATTACAAGTAATATTCGATGATATCGATATGGTGAGTGGTCAGTGCCGGTTGTCGACAAAACAGCGTGTAAAGTTGTAGATATATATATTGTAGGTACTGTAACCCATGTGTACCTTCATTTGTAGAACCACTATTTTTTAAGAAAACTATAAGGACGTAGTTCAAATCCCCTCATTTTTACATCATTTGAACTGTTATATCTTCTTCTATTACTTTGTCTTTCAGAATTTAGAACAAATTATCTAGGTATGTCGTAACTCCGGTTCAACGGTTGCAATTATTAGACTTGGCCGTTCCGATTAAGACTATTTTCTTAACTTGAGGGTCCTCTTTGAGGGTCTCTTTGAGGGTCTCTTTGAGGGTCTCTTTGAGGGTCGCTGCGGGTAAGTGAGGGTCTATTGGAGGTTCGTTGAGGTTCATTTATTAGGTAATCCACTATGCTATCCAATCAGATCTAGCTATGTGGATACAAAAGACGATAGATCAATTCTGGCATATAGAACAGGGACGAACGGATGCCCCAAGAATATCGCGCATTTTTTCGTACAAAATAATTAGTAAGTTCCTCGTTATTTTCTCCTCAGTCATAGTACTGTCTTCTGGTTACTAAATCTATTATGTCTCAGCTCTCCGACGTCTACGCATCATCCAGCTTCGACGGGGTGCAATTAGACGCGCTACAATACCTTGTTCCTAACGATTCCCTATCCCAACGTGAAAGCCAGAGCCAACTACTATCCGAAAGCCAGTTTGGATCAGTTCTAGACCTTCCAGACCTTCCAACCCATCGATCGCGCGTGGCACCTCGGGCCCTAAACACTCTTACGCGAATCAAACCAGACCGTATTAACGAGTACATCATCTTCACAACTACAATGTCCGCAGAATTTATTCAGTGGTGGCTTGAAACCGACTTTGGTAAGAAGAAGCGGATCAACTGGGATATGAACCGTCGTGCAGAGTGCTGGAAAGGGTTTGAACAGGTTGCAAATGCCAAAGATGGGAAGCCAGGCGTTATATGCAAACGGTGCCGTACAATTCTTGAGCATCCAAGTACCAACCATACTGGAATCTCATCGATGCAGAAACATCTCGATGGGCTAAGGTGCCGACAGCGAATACCGAAGAGGGGTAATATCCAGCAACTACTTAGTGACGCGGTATGTTTAAACTAGCCTACATTTAATGTCAATACTAATACTGAATTCATTATCATTTAGGCCGAGAGAAGACCGGCGCCTACCTTTACCCAGCAAATATGGGAGCAGAAGATTCTGAACCTGATCACTGTATCGCATTTACCCTTCCTTTTCGTCGAGCATCAAGAATTCCATGACCTCCTTTCCTACGCACGGCTAGCACCCATACCACCAAGCGTTCCATCAAGAAAGGTGATTCGCGACCGCCTTCGGGGTTTCGTTATAGAACAACAACAGGAGACACTACAACAGCTTCCATCTAGTGCAAAAATGTCGATTGCGCTTGACTGTTGGACTTCTCCATTCCAGCAAGCATTCATGGCTATCACAGGATACTTCCTAGACCAGGAATGGGACTATCACGAGGTTCTCCTTGGGTTCGAGCCAATTTCTGGATCTCATACCGGAGTGAACCTCGGTAGGATTGTTCTCCAGATCCTAGAGAAGCACCAGATCGCTGACCGTATACTGGCGGTGACAACTGATAATGCGTCTAATAATAAGACACTTATCGCAGCGGTGAATGATTCGACTAAGACGCTACAATCTGAGACAGATTCTACGATTGTCCAAGTGCCTTGCCTTGCACATGTTATTCAATTAAGTCTAATTGATTTACTTGGTAAAATCAAGGCCTCACCGAAGAATGACAGTGCCGAGACAGAATGGTCTGAAGATCGTGTACGTTCACTTCGTGCGCGCCAGCGGAAACATGAGATCGCCGATACTCTAAATAAGGTCAGCTTAAAGCTTCTATTTACGAAGCATGATCCAATAACGCTAATCATCCTTATAGGTCCGCGGTCTTGCAGTTTATATCAACGGAAGCCCTCAACGCAAAGAAGCCTTCTTGAATCTTCAATCTAATAACGCTGGTATAAGGCTTCTCCCAATCCAGGATGTCCGTACACGATGGAATTCGACATTCCTGATGCTCCGGCGGGCGACAAGGCTTCATAACACATTCGACAAGTACTGCAAGGACTTTACCCAAACCCATTTTGCATTGAGTATCGAGGGGTGGCGACAGATTGACTATCTACTTTGCATTCTCCAGCCCTTTTTTACGCTTACTGCGCTAGTTTGTCGTACTAAAGACTCAAGTATCCACCTTGTCTTTAGGATTTATAACAAGCTTTTTGATCATCTTGAAAGATCAATACGTCAGCTTCGTCGAAAGAAAGTTCACTGGAAACAGCTGATGCTTTCCTCCCTTGAGGCTGCGAAGGAGAAACTGAAGAAATACTACGGCGAGACCGATAATATCGAAGGTAATCTCTATGCAATTGGGATGATCCTAGCGCCGTCGAGTAAGATGGAGTTCTTTTCAACAAGTGATTGGGACCTAGATCCTGAGATAGGAAAGGACTATAGAAAAGTATACCGCGAGAGTCTTCAGTCTCTCTTCGAAAGATATAGCCAACGTGTACCATCAGATATGATACAGCCTAATAGCCAGTTATTAATAACTGAATCGGAGCTAGAGAGGGCCCTTGACGGCGATTCTTCACCACGATCAATTGCTCCGCAGTACGACGAGCTCACCAAATATCTCCAGAGTGGTAAGTAAGCCTGCCTATTTTATGAATCATATAACTAACCTCACCTGATTAGATACTATTAAAGGATCCGTTCGGATCTTTTGGAAAGATCATCAGAGAGAATTCCCTGTTCTTGCAAGCATTACCCGTGATATTATGTCAATTCCAGCGACTGGTGCCGGAGTTGAGCGTCTATTTAACTCTGCCCGGGATGTATGCCACTACCGCCGGGGGTCGTTGAATCCAGAGACTATTCGTGATATCATGTTGTATATGTGTACAACAAGATTTGATATCAAGGAGGAGCAGCGGCTGATTCTCCAAGAGTATCTTTTAGACCATGAGATAGCAGCTTCGGCAGAAGCACTTGATGTCCAGACACATACCTTCGAGGCTATCAGTGATGACGAGGAGGAGGATGTTGAGTTGCGTCTTGACACACCGGCTGCTATATCAATTATGCAAACAACCCCGAACGCACCGCCACTATCAGCAGTCGCCGCTGGAAAGCGGTCTGCGGTCACTTCTAGTGGTGAGGAAGATTCTGATGCCGATGGATTTGCGAACCCGGAGGAGAACCTATCATTATCCTTCCCTGATACGCAGCATCGTGTATCAGGTAGGATACGGAAGAAGTCGAGACTACTGGATGGGTATATAGTTTGACTCTTGACTTAGAACCATGACTAGACACTGTGCTATAGATGTAATGTAAACCATTCAAAATTTAAACCTCTATTCGAGGATGAACCTATGGTATGCACTAAGGGGTGGATATGTACTGTAGTATCCTTCTGTAAGGCCATACAGTGATGGATTTTTAGTTTACAATTACAATGAAATACAGCCTGTTTTTACATAATTTATGCAATTGACGTCCAGTCACGTTTTTTACCTTTTTGTCATGTTTGACGACCCTCAGGGTCCCCGCGGGTAACCCTCATGAGGGTCGGCCTCGGCACGACCCTCCCCGCGGGTCCAGGTCTCGGACCCTAACCCTCCGCATGGGGAGGTGAGGGTCAGGGTCGTGGAGGGTACCCGCGGGTCCTAGCCAGGTCTAGATATCTATCTGCAATTTATACGGGCGAACGTAAAAAACACAGGCCCAACGAACAGTTCACAGTCTCCATTATTTCAGCTTTGAAAGATACATATGCCAAGTAAACACGATGTCAGACCACTAATCCGAAAAAAAGTTTTCCTCGCTTACTTCTGTAGGCAACGATTCGTCGGCGCCTGTCGTGGCGCCAATCAGAGGGCGAATGACAAATTCAGGAAATGAAAAGTTGCCCAAAGATAAATGCGGCGCTGGCCCTACCCTTCCTTACCTTAGCGCATTCTATTAGACTTGTCGGATTTTCTGAAATCGTCTAGCTTTTAGAGCTTCACGCTTCCGTGATGTCAGTAACTAAGCCCGAAATGGTAGCAAAAAGTAATGTATGCGGCAGTATGCCTTTCAACAGGCCTCACTTAGAATGGGCACTGTGTCCATCATTTTAATAAAAAAATACCGTCCAAATCCGAATTGAGAGACCGGCAGCAATCCTTGTTTTCCGGCGATATACGATAGTCGTCACGCCAATACCGGCTCGAGAATTCTGGCTCGTGTTTTAGGCAGTCTTTTGAACTTTGACGATCCGCGGGACTAGTGAGCGGGAGGAAGGGGGATTCGTGTTCGCTTCCGGAAGAATACTTTTGCCGGGAGCCGGGATCAGCTGACATCAGCCAAGAGAACCCGTCGATCGGGCTTGTCATGTTACAGTTGTCAGGGCCTCGGTCTTTTCTTTTCTACATATCGATGGCTGACACCAGCTTACCTGATTACAAAACTCTCTATCTGCAGGCGGAAGAGAGACGAAAGCAGGAGGCAGAAGGGAGGCGGCAGGCAGAAGAGCGCGAGAAGCGGGAAGCAGAAGGGAGGCGACAGGCAGAAGAGCGCGAGAGGCAGGCAGAAGAGCGCACCCGACAGACCACTTTCACAGAGCTCATTCAGCACTGCCATGTCCTTCTCTCCCGATCACTGAGAGTCGATTCACCATCTCGCTCAACAACTGGAAAAATACCTCTTCCCAAGGGAAAATACTGCCCAACTCGATTGGAACATTGGACCGACTGTCCAAAACAGCTCTCAGAGGTCTACGAGTCCGTCTGTCAATATCTTCACCCGGAGCGGGGACCGGAGCCTCGTCTGTTTTCGTCTGTGGCTGAAATAGAAGGGCTTGGCCGTCGATTTGCTCGCAGCCCACTGAGCAGCGAGCAAGAGCTTGAGGCCTATGAGCGATTTGGCGTTGAAGAACATGTTCACGATATTATAGCCGAGCTTTGCAAACTGCCAGCTGCTTGTGAGGAGTTCCGGCTCGGAGATGGAATCCAGTTTAGCAATCATAAGAATTCCCTGAACGAAAATGAACCCACGGAGGTTGAAGCAAACGAGCTACCCAGCACAAGTCAACCACGGCCTGACCAGTTCTGCATCAACCGTGTCGACGGTAACTCGACCACCATTCTGACGACTGTCGAGTACAAGCCACCTCACAAGCTGCCTACTGCAACTATGCGCATAGGACTTCGGCCAATGGACCTCTGGAAGGATGTGGTCCGAGCCAATAAAACATCAACCGACCAGGAAAAAAAGGTGAGGCACAACGCAGAGCGGCTCGTCTGCTCCGCCATTGTGCAGGAATACCATGTTATGATCCAAGAAGGACTCGAATATTCATATCTGACCAATGGGCTTACCCGCGTTCTCCTCCGTGTTCCGCCCGACCAGCCTAGCACGCTCTACTACTTTCTCTGTGACCCTCACAGCGAAATGACCCCAGAAAGCGATATTGCTTCCCGGCTATGGAAATCCTCTGTTGCGAGGGTACTGTGCCTTTGTTTGATGGCGTTCCGTTCACCTACCAGAGGGCAAGAATGGAGAAACCGAGCGCACCCAGATCTTCATACATGGCAAACAAGCTTTGACCACACACGCTCACAAATCCCAGGAAAGGAGCTACAGCAGATTCCCCACTCCGATAGCACCAACCCCGAATTTCCGAGTCCAGAGACTGGCTCATCCTATGCACTACCATCGTCATCTCCGTTACCAGCTCCCTCAGAGGGCCGTCGAGTGCCTACACGATCTCAAGCGAGCTGTGCACCTTCGGAGGTTCGACCGCGGTCGCAGTCACCTGGCTCGTCCGGCTCCGACACAAATCAAGCAACTGGCCATAAGCGCAGGATCAGTCAGGTCACGCCTTCACCGTCCGCTCGGCGATCAGGCCGCCAGCAAAGGGCAGGGCACGACCAAGACGATCATTCACAGCGCCGCGCCGCGCAATTCTGCACGCAACGGTGCTTACTTGGCTTGCAGACCAGGAAAGATCTGGATGAGTTGTGTCCAAACGTGGATCATCATCGCCGGGGCCAGACCGATCCGACTCAGCATCCGATATCGGCCGAGGACTTGATTTTTTCGTTGAAGAACCAGCTGGACGAGAACATAGATCGCTGCATACCCTTCGGCGGTTGCGGCTCATACGGCGCTCCGTTCAAACTGACCTGCATGAAATATGGCTACACAGTTATCGGGAAAGGCACCACTTCAGGGTTGTGGAAAGAAGTTTCCCGCGAAGCGGAGGTGTATCGAGTGCTGCGCAAGGTCCAAGGATCCGCTGTGCCTGTCTTCTTGGGTGCCATGGATCTGGCCAAAATCTATTTTCTTCATGGCGCTGGACAAATCCGCCACATGCTTGTAATGGGCTGGGGGGGGAAAGCACGGCGACGATGGAGCTGACGCAATGGCTTCGCCGCGAGATCCACAAGTCGAACAAAGAAATCAAAGCTCTCGGGATAATACATGACGACCTGAGGCGAGAGAATGTCCTCTGGAGTGAGGAGCTTGGGCGAGCTTTGATTATCGACTTTCACCGCTCTACATTGAAATGTCGCCCGACTCTTCAGCGACCGGGGACAGCAAAACGACGACTATGTCGAACAGAGGCAGGCGATGTAAAAAGTCTTCGTGTGTCATGAGAAGGAATTTCTCTTTCGGCCTGTTAAATATTTGAACATTCTCTTGCTACCTAGATTTCAGTTGTCGTCCATTTATTCAGAAGCGAAGTGCGCTCCTTCTATCTATGTTTTGACACCACCGAATTCTTGTGCAAGCTGGGTTTTAATGGGAAGCTGTTTTTCGACGACGCCATTTTGAAGCATCTAGAACGCTCATTTGATGCCACACTTATCGAAGACCGTCTGCCAAGATGAGAAATGATGTGCTGGCTATTACTGAACACGTCTAATAGAATCAGATGATTGATTATTTCAAGATCTGTAGAACGATCTTAGGAGTCTGCAATTGAGCTCTGGTGTAATACGACCGAGTTTGCCCAGAATACCATGCTATTGTGATATGAGGCCGGTCCAGATAAGGCACCAAGCCGCATCATGGGAATGAGTTCCGAAGTTGGTTTCCAATCAGCTTGTCAAATTGCTGTATATATAGGCTCAGGTATCCCTCGTAATTAACAAGCCAATTAGTACCCCCAGATAACAACAAAAAAAAAGCTGCCTATGCTCAAAAATACACTCAACTAGATCATACCTTTACCTATCAAGATTTAGCATCACGTTATTCAGCTGGGCCACGTCGAAAATGCGCCTAAGGAATGAATATTTAACACGGATTGTTTATAACATTGAAAAATCTTTCGATGCTTCGAGCCGGATTGTGAGAAGTATGTTATATGACATAGAGGGCGAAGAATTTCCGCGACGCCGTTTTTGGTAGTTTTGCACGCTTTGCAGCAAGCCACAGAATTGATATCCACTGTTGCCACCAGGAGCAATTGCAAGATCTCGTGCTGTCGGTATTCTATAGCCACCGTAATAGGTCGTTGGTTGTTCCAATCTGGATCGTTGACACATGCAGGAAACCGCTCCATCAGGTGTCGGATGACGCAACTCTTGCCCTGTATGATGGCCAAGGTGAGCCTACTTGGGGCCCGGCGAGAGCACGAGGCGAGCACACGGTCGTGCTGCATCAGGCAATCACCCACCTCAAGACTGTCTTTTTCAGTCGTGGATATCGGGGGTGTGCAGCATAGGCAGTACTCGAAAATCGGAGGGAGGTCATGGTTGTACATGTCCATGCTGAAGTGTCGAGCTGTTATGTTTTTGACGGACATGATGCTTTGAGCAAGATGCTGGACAATTGTAGAGATGGCTGTAGATGGAGACAGCGTCTAGAACAGAAATGAGGAGACTGGTAATGGATAGGATGATAGTATAGTCCCTCTTTATACCTAGATAATTCTATTTGTATACGCCAGTTTTCACGAATGTCCTTAGCATTCTCGATCGTCAGGATCTCATTGGCGAAGATGAAGTGACGCGCATTGCTATGACCATTATCTACCTCATGTCCCAAGCCCAAAATGGAGCCGAGAATGAGAAGGAACAGGAAATGATGTCGATCAAAGAATAGCTGTCGAAGACTTGCAAAGTGATGTGTCGAACTGAGGGGTGGTATTTTACCACTAAGAACAGGGATATTCATCAAGTACCCATTCTGTCTCTGTCTCTGTATGGTAAACGGGGTACGCTCGGCATACCAGCGTCGTAACACGCTAGGAACGACTCCTGAGATCTGTTAACGCTTCAACAGCAAGATCCAGATAGAACAACATCAATGCATCTCAATGGGACACCTCAATACTAGCACATACCAGTATCTGTCAATCCGACACCATACGATAATAGTATCATACAGGGTCATACCTGTTTCATGTAACTGTCAGATTACAGGTGTTCCAAGTGTTGTGGCTTATCTGTCTCAAAGCGGTGGCTGTGCAGTCTGGACAAAGCCCCTGTAATTACCTTACATCGGTAAATAACGAACAGTTGTATCGAATACGGGCCAAGAACATACCTACTAAGCTGATGACCGAAGTGGCCCGGCTATTTATCAATCGAGTCTGAAGGCGTAATTGCACTTTCTGCGAATTTTATTTTCTAAGATTTAATGTGTTTCAGAGATAATCCAATTATATGGGAGTAGGTTGTTGGGCCTTGTCCATATATCCACCGTAAGGGGATACAAGATGAAGTCCAACTGGTTTTCTATGAGCTCGTTCATTCCTATAGATCGTGCAAAATTAGTTTCGATGATGCGGCTTGGGTCCTAGTCTGCAAGAGCCTCAAGCCACAACATTCTTAACCCGTCATATGTAATCCAAAAGCACCGGCCTGGCAAACATAGATAATATACTAAGATAAACAAAACCTGTAGTCCAGATCTGCAATATGAAGCTGGAACGCCGAGGGCATAAGATAGAATACGGTCTTCTGGTTGTCAAGTCCGAACAGGTTGAAATTGCCACAGAATTTCGGTGTCAATTTATGTTGGTCATTATCAGGTGCGCTTCATGGCAGCGAAAGCGGAGACCCAATGGAGCGCATTGTCGTGAAGAGATTGAGGATCACTTTGTACGCACAAGAATTGAGCGTAGAAAGCTATTCAGTCGATGTTGGCAAGGGAGGACTCGCGTCTTCGCTCCAATAGATTAGCTCTTCCTGTTCTCTCAAATATCATGACTCGACTGAAAGCTTTCAAGTCCTACTACCAGAATAAGCATGGCAAGTAAGGTCCAGAGGCAAAAGGATGTCTATAAGTCAGAGTAGAATGATACAGACTGAAGACTGGCAAGCGAGGCTGATTATCGTAGCATGGCCGATAGTCAGATTAGACACGTGCTCATTAGTGATGGAATGGGCGAGGGCTCATTTCCATGCGTATTCGTGGCATCTTCAAATTTTCTCTTTCAGGTGTAATATTCCACCTGGGGCCTTCTGAGTTTCCGAAGTAGTACTATTGTGCCATACGAATCTCATGTAAATAAGTATCAGTTAGGTCAGTTTTGCGAAACGTTCAGTTATCTCACTGCCATCGGTCTATGTCGATGTCTAGCAAGATTGAGAAGGATGGGAATCATGGATCAAGCTCACTAGAGCGGGAGGGGCTATAGCTCAATCTGGGGAAGAACGCCATACCCGATATACTATTTGCGTCGGGGTAATTGACAAAACGAGCATGCGTAAGTAAAATGGGTTTTAGTACGTGTAATCAGACCGAGGAATCAAGCCAAGATCTGTTCTCTCTCAGATCTCAGTAGATTCCATGCTCCTAAATTCAGTCAGCCACAGGCACCCTGCAAATTCACACCCTCCCCTGGTACAAGAGTGAAAGTCACGTACATCTTCCCATTTTGCTCTTGACCTTATATAACAAACTTAGAGCTCGGGAATATGCAGGAAACGGCATTGCAACTCTCGTCGGACGTGAAATATTGGATATCGATCAGGTAGTCGGCTTTATTTGCGGCACCAGACAATCTGCATAATAGTTAGGCTTATACTTTGGCTGAGGGTTGGAAGAGACAGACCTGGATTACTGAAGTTGCTAAATTTATGAGCAGATTTCATGAGGCCTTGAGGAGGGATCGGTGTTTCTTTATATACATTGGCTCTCAGCATTAGCGGTACCAGTTCTCGCGAATGGGTACCAGCACTTGAGCTCCTAGGATCTATTTCTGTCACTCCGATCACATTGGTGGCACGAAAGGCCTGAGAGCTCCTAGGAAGTCCTATCAGAATTTACAGGACGAGGTATTTCTGATTGCTAGTTAGGGTATCTTAGCAAATGAGGGGCCACAATTTACGTCACGGGCGGCTAGATAATCCAATAGTCATGATCAATGAGTTTAGACTATTTTCGTAGACGTCGGATCGTCAGAGCTGAAGTCGTATTCCTAGGAGCAAGCGCAGGCAGCAAGAGCGATAATTCGTTGTTATTCAAGCGCAAAATAATTAAAAAAAGGAAAAGAAAAAGAAATCAAAATCAAAACTACATTGGGTTTGCAAACTATCCAGTTGGGCTTTTTTGAGATATGCTAGATATTGTAGAATCAAAAATCGAGGGTTGGATATTTTCCGCGACTGTTGTGACGGCATAGATCGAGACTCGGCGAGTTGAATAGTGGAATAGCCGCAGAATGGTAAAACCAACGAAAGTGGTCCTACGACAGGTTTCGCCTCCCAGCTGGAGGTGGAACAACCAGGATCGACCACCAAATTGATGACGCCAGCCTTTCGTTGAGGGGACAACGGTCAAGAGTTGTGGTGACCAACTACATTTGGATGGGGTTAGCGTGGTGCATTTTATTGAGGTGAGCTGCTGACTTAGCTGCTGCCGCGCTATGCTCAGGTCACGCTCAGTGAGCGGGATCGGGTTGCTCACTGAGCGTGACACGTGGCTTACATAACGATCAGGTGATACTCAGGGCGTGCTCAGTTCTACTCAGTGAGCAAAAAGCGGCATGGGGTGAGCACTAAAACGGAAAGGGAAAGCCAAGACTTGCCAGATATTATCCTGTCTATATGCTTATTTTGCCCTCTGAAACGGCGCCGCGTTCTACTTCCTGGCTAGGAAGCGAGCCTTGACTCGTGTTAATCGACCAAGTGGTGGTTGGTCGTGCAAGGTTGCGTTGCAACGCTCCCCGAGCTCGTGCTGATCCTAAGCTCCTTTCCACCCATGCAGCTATTGGCATTCGCTACTCATACGCTCCGCTCATCCACCATCGTAAGCCCATGACGAAGAATGTCTCATTCCCCGAATCTTTTTCGTGAGGGCTTGGAACTTTTGGTCGCATTGTATCCAGCGCTACTTTTCAGATGATGCGTTCTCAGTTGATTGGCCGTCAATGTCTGCGCCAAGGATTTCCCGTGCACGATCTTGTCGCAATCGCACTGTTTTGGCAAGACGGAACCAAGGGACCGAGGCTTCTGGACCCTCGCAGGCTCCGGAGCGGGTTGGCATTGTCGTCTGCACAGTGATCTCTTACCCGACTGGATACTGATGCGTACGCCAAGCAGCCCTTTCGACAAGCTCGATGCGTGGTGGACATTGAAAGAAGTTGTCATTCTTGGGGCTATATACTACGCCTTCTATATAGAGAATACTCACTAAAACATCAAGAGAGCTGCTGATAGAAGAGTTGTTCAAGATAGTACCTTGGATCACGCTGATACCCAATTGCTCATTGAACTAACACGTCACAGTATTCGCAGACGAGCTCGTATAACCCAAGCCGACGAAAGTGGCATAGTTCCAGTAATCAGCCTGAGTACCCTCTCCAGAAACAGTCGCATTGCCAAAGAACTTGGCAGTCCAGTACGAACTGCCTCGTGTGTACTTCTTCCACGCAGCGATGCCAGTCTGCAAATTCTTCTTCCGGCTCGAGAAAGTGTTGTCGATCTCGGCTTGAATGGACCATTCTCCAATGAAAACGGGGAACTTTCCATCTCCCGCCGCGGCCACCGCGTCCTGGCAAATGAAGTGAGTGAGATTTGCTGAGCTGGCACCACGGCCCGCGAAATAATAGTTATGGACATCGAACACCAGATTTTTGCCGGCAGCGAAGTTTGGTGACCAATATCTTTCACCCTTGAAGCTGCCCTGGAACATGACTGGGATTCGTGAATCGGCGGCTTCGACTTTTGCAATGACTTGATCGATGTATTCCTGGACCCATTTTGCACCGTCATCGGTAAGGCAGTAAGGGGTACCAAAGACTGTAATGTCCGGTACATCCACGGGTTCGTTGATTGGGGCAATCGTGAAGGACTCGGGAAATTGCGAGTTTGTCACGAAGCTAATCACCGAATCAATGACTTGGAAAGAATAATCGAGGGCTGTCGCATTGTTGAACCAGCCGTAGTGCCCTTCTGCTTCTCCAAATGCCATCCCGTTAACACCTCCAGGAAGAGAATGAATATCAATGATGATATGCATTCCATACTTGCTAATAGCGTACTTCGAGATGTTCTCGAGGAACGAGACTTGATTGCCACTGTAAAGCTGAGACCCAGGGACATTGGTCCAGGCAGCGTATGAGGTTGGGATACGAAGGGTATTGATACCCGCCGCAGCGAAAGAATCAATGTCGGCAGGAGTGATCCACGTAGCATACCGACGCTCAAGAACTGGTCCGCACTGGGAGCCTAGATTGGCGCAGAGGCCCCATTCATCCGGAGCTCCACCGGAATAAGTCGCCCACCAGGCGGTGTCAATGGTAGACTCCTGGACAAGCCAGCCTCCCAGATTGATGCCAGTGGCATGGAATGACTTCCAATCGAGGTAGCTCGAAACGGCCGCTGCATGAGCAGTTGATACAATGATCAGGGCGGAAAATAGTTTGAATGTCAACATCTTTCTTGTCCAATAGAGAATGTACTCGGTCAGATCACTCAGAATCGGTTGATGATCTGTAGATATCATTTTATGGGGCTGAACCCAGTTTTATATACCACAATGGATCGCTCTTCGTCATGTTCATAGCCCGAACTCGGATTCTGCATCCCGCACTTGACTAGGTGGTTTCAGTATTATCATTATGGTCGATTGTGAAGACGCTTGGCGAATTAGTGCGGCCCTGATCTTAGGCTTAATGTCAGGTTTCCCATGGGGACTCCGCGGCGTGCTTGCTTGCATTCTCGGCATTGATCTCCACATTCCGTCCCCCTGTGCTGCAGCCGAGCTCCAATGATCAGCAGGTAGCTGAAGCGGCATTATTCTGGTGGCGCAAGTCTTCGGTTCTTCATCACCCCGAACAAGGCCGAGCTTGCGATCGGGCTAATGATGCTGGAGATGACAGTGTATGGCATAGAAAGAGACGGTCTGAGTCGCGTGCTAGCTTCGTGAGTGAGGTTCATACCACCTTGCTGCCTATAAGAAGATATACGAAACATCACTCACATATCATCTTCGTAGGGTGTTCATTTCACTCGTTGGTCACTTTGTTGACAGTAATCGACTTATTCGAATATCAAGGTACCTGCCTTGGGGTAGTTCTTCATTTGGCAGAATCCCGACTTGGCAGCCAAGATTCACGTCCCCCCCCCCCCCCCCGGAATGGGATTGCACCACATAGTCCCCGCATAAATCGTCGCGGGGGTTGTTGACATGAGGAGGGTGAGACTTTAAGGGGGCGGGGGTGGGGGCGGAGTTTTAAGTTCAGCCACAATAGGAACTAGATGCATGTCACAGCTTTGGCTTGGTGAAACGGAGAACATGCTGATTATGGGGGAAGTTGTTGTGATCCTTGAGATCTACTCTTACAATTTTGAACATAGTGAGGCGCGACTTTTGGAATAAGGTAGTGTGCATGAACACCTAACCTGTTTGCCAATATTCTTGACATAGTTCCATGTGCCACAAAATTATATGTAATATTGGATTGCTTTCCAAGTTTCTGATATGCCCGGTGGTAGTTCAAGAAGGCATCCATGGATTCTAGCGCTAATTCATGCACGGCGACTCTAGTACATAGGCCAAAAACAGCAACTGTTTCACAGAGGGAAGACATTGCATTCAAAATCAGATGTGCTGATAGCTAGCTACACTTGGATTACTGGATTGTACCATTAACCCTGACAAGTCCATTCACCCACTTCAGCCACAGGTCTTCAGGCATGACCAATTTCTCCCAGCTTCTCAGTAGCTGTAAAGGCCTCCGTCGCCCGCCGCTCTGCCACTGTCACGTAGTGGCGGAATTCTCGCGTGGCGACTTGATTCATGAACAGTTCATCAAGTTCTTCGTAAGTGCGAAGTCGAGTCTCTGGAACAAAGAACCAAGCCATCACCGCGAAAATCAACATGAACGCGCCATACACAAACCCAATCTTAGCCTTGAGATTGCCATAACCCGGATTGAACATATATGGAGCGATGAAGGACCACATTGTATTAATCGCCGCAGACAACGAAAGTGCTATAGCAAGAGTCTTGGTGCGAAGAATCGAAGTGGGCACTTCGCCGGCGATGGTATAGACGTTGGAACCGACACCGGCATTGTAGAAGAAGTTGTACATCGTGTAGAAGCCGACTGCTGCCCTCGTAGCGGCCGATGTGTCGATGGAACCAGCAATTCCCATGCAGAAGAGTAACATTGTGAGTCCAATACAGCCGCCAAGGTACATCGGTCGTCGCCCGATCAAATCGCTTATAAGGAAGGATATGATTGCACCCGAAATCGATAGGATCTGGGCTCCAATTTGGATGAGGAACGATTGTCGATCGCCTATGCCTAGGTATTGATACATCAATGCCCCGTAGTTCGACACGAATCCTAATCCGGACATAGGCTCAGACTGGAAGACCATGATAGCGATCAGGGTTCGTCGTAGATTAGTTCCTCGAAAGCACTCAGCGTAGGAGGCATTTTGTTGGGACTCAGCTTCCTCCAAAGTCAACTTGATCCTCTCCAGGTGGCCTTCGGCATCGTTCGGATCAGAATATAGTCGGCTGAGGGCTTTGCGGGCCTCAGGCAGCTTTCCTCTCCGGACGAAGTAAACAGGAGACTCGGGCATCAAGATTTGTCCGATCAAGGCAATAGCAGCGAATCCCCACTGCGCGCATATCAGAGACTTCCAGGACCAAGCATTTTCCCATTGTGACGTGTAGTAAGACATGATGGCTGATATAAATGGCCCGATACATTGCGATAGGTTGCAGAAGCCGATAACTGACGATCGAATGGCGAGAGGGGAAAGGTCTGCAACATACGCAGTGCAAAGATTGAGAAAGGCTCCAATAGCAACAAAGTTTAACATCTTGCCCCCAAAGAACATTCCGATAGATGTGGTGCAGAATTCAATAGCGACTGACGCGATGTTGATTGCGGCAGCGGCAAGAGTAACAGGCTTTGTTCCGTATTTGTCGGCAAAGTACGAGGCAGCCCATGATCCAACAATGGAGGCTGCGTTGGATCCGCCGCTCAGGGCTGATTGCCATTTTGTTTCGATAAAGTATTCGCCGTGTTGAAGGCTTCCGAATCTTTCTTTGAAGTCTGGAATGCTGATGACGGAGCCGGACGACTGGTTCTCGAATCCCCGAACAATGAGTGTCCAAAGCATGACGCCAATCCAGAAGAGCAGCCAAGGATCTTTTCGCAGTGTTTCCAAGTATCCCCGGTTATGCTCCTGTTGCTGAATGGCTCGTCCACGAAGTTCTTTTGAATCCACCCCAAGCTCAGCATGGTGGACAGATTCTCCACCGGCTTTCACAGGATTCTTTCCGTGACTGCTGTTTGTCTCCATGGTAACTGCTACAAACCAATAAGATGGAGTGCAAGTGAGACGAGCTTGTAAATGCCGGATTTCCAGAGCAAAGATTTCCCTGGTACAAGCAGAGAGATTATGAGGAATTCTCATCGAGTATATAAAGCATCAAGGGTCCAGTGTCGATTCAGGGATAGTGCTAGTTTTATGTTCAACATGTGGGGTAAACTAGCGCTTTGTTTGAAGCTCCGGGGAACGGCTCAAGGGTGAGGGGGAGGCAGTCAGCCCACCTCGCGTCAACCCAGGCCGAAGTAGGATCATGGACAGTAGTAATCTGGGTGCATGAACAGGGTCATTTACTCGGAAAGAGATACAGCGAATTGTGGTATCGCTTGGACATTGTAGAGCCCCTACTGGCCACGGGAACTTGGCGCGTCTGACTACCAAGAATCAATATTCCTCCACTTCCCGATGTACTGGTGATTGGGAGAAAGACTGGATACGATGCAACAGCTGAGATCTGAGAAGCCTGGGGTGTTCGACCGATTCCTTGATCGCGGGCTCATGGGAACAAAGGCCTAATTATCGCAACACGAGGAGAAGCACCACCTGCTGCTTTGCCTGTCGTGTCACAGGGCCTCTGGCTGCGCATGGGAGATCTGCAGAAAGCTCTACACGTTACCTCCAGACATGGCACAAGTAGACTTCAGCATAACCCGCAGATGGGTCGAAGGTCTCGACCCAAGACCCAACCCGCCGCGGGTTCGGGTCGAAGCAGGCCAACCCGAACCCAACCGGCAACCCGCATGGGAACCCATTGGGGCCCCATCAAAAACCCATCCTCGCATAAAATTTAGGTCTTGGCGTTCATAAACCTGCTTTATAATTCAAATAAAATACTGTTAACGTGTTTCACTAGTGAGCTGGCCACACCCCCGAGTTGGCCACCCCACCCGAAAACGCGTCAGTAAATTAGACCTTTCTTCTTTAACCACCCACTATGCCACCAATTCGCACTCAATCCTCTCAGAATCGTATAGAGCAAGAGGGTAGGATCTTATTAGCTATTCAGGCTATTAAGAAGCAAGAAATTACCTCAATTCGCGAAGTTGCACGCCAATTCAACGTACCGCGTTCAACTCTTACAATACGCCTTAATGGGGTTCAAAACCGCGCGTTTTCTCGCGCAAAAAACCTGAAATTGACGGAAATTGAAGAAGAATCTCTCCAAAACTGGATTCTCTCTATGAACTCTCGTGGAGCAGCCCCTCGGCCTTCTACTGTACGAGAAATGGCAGATTTACTACTCGCCACGCGTGGATCTACCCCCCTCCTTCGGTCGGTCAAAATTGGGTTACAAAATTCGTTAAAAGGCATCCTCTACTTTCCTCCCGTTTCTCGAAACGTTACGATTATCAGCGAGCTAAATGCGAAGACCCTAAAATCATATCTGAATGGTTTTCTCTCGTCCAAAAAACGATTCTAACTAGAGTGCGCCAAAAACCGCAAAACCGCAAAACCAAACCGCCCCAAACCGCAAAAGGTTTGGTTTTTGGGGCCAGTTTCAGAAACCATTGCGGTTTGTGGTTTTCGATGTTCAAACCGCAATGGTTCTTGGGGCCCCAATGGTTTGATAAACAATGCAAACCAGGTGGGTCCTTGCCACTGCATATTTTATGCAGTTTTGCTCTGTTTCCTACGGTAATTAACTTACAGGTAAACGCCTACTATCATACCCTAGATTTTTGACGTACGTAAAATGAGGTCTTCAGGCTACGGCATAGGATTTCTGACGGCCGTCAGAAATTATGGTTATTAAGCTAGTATTGGCTCTTTGATGGCTGTCAGAAATTATGTTAATTAGGTAGAATCCGCTATCGTGTCAATTGCTAATAATACTTGTATAGATCCTCGTCGCGCCTGATTCGTTTCCGAGCTCTTACTGAAGCACGTATCTGAGTGTTTTCTTCCTCATGAGAAGGAAGAGGAGGGTCAGTATCATGATCGGTCACAACCTGTCTATCCCCTCTACCTTGAACTTCTTCCCCTTCCTGGGTTTGCTCTTCCTCAGTATCACTAATTGGATCGACGCTGACCGTATCAGGTGTGGGTTCCTTCTCCTCCTTTGCTGCTTCGATCTCGTCACGAGTAAAGAATTCTTGTAGAAACGCTGCCTGTTCCTCCTCGATCTCGAACGTTGACGTACAAAGAAACATCATTAACTCCTGGATAATTGTTGCACTTAGTCTCCCACGGCGATAATGACAGATATCTCGAGCCGTGTTAAATAGTCGCTCAACACCAGCACCAGTCGCAGGGACTGAAAGTACATCTCGCGCGAGGGCTGCAAGAGTAGGGAAACGATGGGCATTCTCTCTCCAAAACACTAGAGGTGCTATATCTAAAGTAGCTTGTAGGAAGTTAGTATTATATATAGTAAAGCAATAATAAATACATACCACTATCTAGATATTGTGAGAGCTCATCGCCTGCTATAGTAGAGCGGGGACGTTTCGGCTTTACCATTGAGTCAAGACGCGATATTCCTCCCCCCGACGGAAGAGAAGGAGGAGATGCCTGCTGCTGGGCAAGACGTTCTTTATACAAAGTCAAGTGGTTGTCGAGAGACTTCCGGTATGTCGTACGCCAACGATCGTCCCAGTCATCTGTTTGAAAGAATTGGAACTTGTTCGCGGGAGCAAGCATTGTAGTGATTGCATAGAGATGCCCTCGTACGTTATCTGTCTCAGAGTAGTACTCGTCAAGCTTCTTTCGAGCAGCTTGTAACGCCTGAAGCATCTGTCGCTTCCAGGTGATCCTCTTCCGCGTAAGCTGGGTGATTGATAGCTCGAGGTGTTCAAACAGCTTGTTATATATCAGGAATACATGATGTGTAGTAGCATCCCGGGTTTTTGACAATTCAACTGTGAAATCAAAGAAAGGCTGGGTGATATAGAGAAGGTAGTCAACCTGGCGCCATTCTTCATCATCGAGTACCATATCAGGCCGCTCATACTCATCACAAAATGGCTGGAAAAACGACTGTAGGCGTTTTGCACGTCGAAGCATTAAGAACGTGGTATTCCAGCGTGTCTTAACGTCTTGAAGAGGTGTGAGCTTTGTTGTTTCGCTTTGTAGATTATAGAAGGTCTCCCGGCGTTGTGGACTCGCATTCACGTAGATAGCAAGATTTCGAATCTAAAGGTTATAGTTAGTATGATATAATAACACTAGACTATATAGATATACCTTGGATAGCGTACTGGTAATATCTTGCTTAGTTGCATTAGCACGCGCTAATTGGGATCGCTGCTCTGTCCACCGTGTCTCCGTTGACTCATTTAGCGGGCAAGCCTTAATATGCCCAAGAAGCTCATTAAGGCTTAGTTGAATCACATGAGCAAGACACGGAACCCTAATAAGGGTAGTGTCTTCTGAAATTGCTTGTTGTAGTGTATCAACTAATGTTTGGTTATTTGATGCATTATCAGTTGTGCTTGCAAACACCCGATCTTCGATCTTATGTTGCAAGAGTATATCGAGGAGTACAGAGCTTAGGTTAACGCCAGAGTGTGGTCCATGAAGCGGTTCGAAACCGAGAAGAACCTCGCGGTATTGCCAGTCCTTATCGATGAAGTAGCCGGTTATAGCCATAAATGCCTGTGTAAAAGGCGACGTCCAGCAATCAAGAGCAATTGAGATCTTTGTATCCTCTGGGAGCGCTTTGAGAATATTTTCCTGTTGTTGTTGTACGGAGGAGTGTAGCCGGCGTCGTATAGTCTTTGCTGAAGGGATGTCAGGGACCCTTGGTGCGGACTGAGCCATCTGGATTAAGTGGTGAAACTTAGGATGCTCGATCAGCCGAAACGGAAGACGCGCGACCGTAAGAAAAGTAAGAAGCTCTTGTTCCCATGCGTCTTGACTAAACATATCGGTAAAAGGCCCATTCTAGCCATTCAATCTAGTCATTAGACCGGAGCTAATGAAGATAGTAGACTAGAAACATACCTTAGGCTGTAGAAACCGACTAATATTTGTCCCCTGGCCTTGGGTAGCTTTGATACAGCCTGCGCTAGAAAGGTGACCTTTCATAGTTGAGGTTCCTTGACGCTGTTTCTTCCCATCCATTGTCTCACGGACGAAGTTTGGGTGCTCAAGAATCTGTCCACAGCGCTTACACATAACCTTTGCAGCACCATCGGAGCTATGGGCGACCTGGTGAAATATATCCCAGGTACTTGACTGATGTTTCGCATCCCAGGGTATGTTCTGCTTCTTACCAAACCCTGTCTCTAGCCATCAGCTTACCCAGTCGTTATGGAGCATTTCGTCGTAGAGAAAATAGACCTTCTTACGACCAGGGCCAACACGCGTGAACGATGAAGTGATTGTAGGGGGTATAGTCGGTCGGAGGAAATCCGTATCGAAGGAAGGTAATGTTTCTTGGCTCTCAGAGAGATCAGGCGTAAAAGGATGATTGCGAGGAGTATAATTGTCGAAATCGCTGTCGTAGATCGATGAGGAGAAGGGAGATTGCTGGGTTCGAGACATGGTGAGTATAAAACCACAGCTAGTAATGGTGAATGCTAAGAAGGAAGGCTCTGGCTTACACGAGTTGTGCGGATTCTATATAGACGCGACCGACAAACAAAGGATCCCTGAGTGAGTTGATACATCGCGATTTAATCAGTTCACTAAGCCGCTAATTGGATGACAGTAGCTTACTATGTGGGTCAAAACCGCAAGAAACCATCGAAAAACCGCAAAAAAACCACTTCGAAATCCGAGCCTCAAGCAGCGGCCATGTCGGGGTCTCGATAGAATAAGTAAATTTAAACCACTTTTACGGTCTATATACCTAGATTTTATTATTTAATAAGATGACTTCTTTGTATTAGAATTGATTGATATATGTTATAGCCTTATAGTACCTTTGTTCAAAAAATTGTGAGGAAAACATAGTAATCAGGGAAATTTACACATTGAAGTTTAATGTTTAATATATATTCCCGCGATAAAACATCGGAGAATGTGGAAGCCTGGACAACTTCCACTATTTATCGTTGAATTTACTTCAAAGCGAAACAAATGATTATTACCTTCACAAATCAATTTGTATACATGTGAGTTACTATTAGTTTCATAGCTTTAATAATGAAAAAAAGGATTGAGTATAGTTGTGACCAGTACAAGGTTAAATAACAGTAATATATTAGTATGAATCAGCAGGTTTATGTATGCCAAGACGTCGATTTTATGCAAAAATGGTTTTTGTTGGGGCCCCATTAGGGAACCGCAGTGGTTTGTGGTTTGGTTGCGGTTTGGGCGGTTGGAAACCGCAACCACTGCGGTTTGGTTTTTGAGGGCAAGGTTTGCCCCCAATTGCGGTTTTTGGCGCACTCTAGGTACAATAATAAGAGTCACTTACATCTTCCCATTAGGTCTTGGCTATATATAACAAACTCAGAGCTCAGGAGACTGAAGCGGTTGAATTAAATTCTCGCAAAACAACACTGAATATTGGGGATACTTTTCCCACAGCTTTGACATCGCCTGGTGCGTACGGCTCACAAGTGTTGAGGCTGCGCTATTTTCTTTGGCACTAGTGGAGACCGTAAGGTGGTGTCTAGCAACTCCTTGACCTGAGAACTAAACCGAAAGAGAGAGTACGTCATATTGAACGGGCACAACTGATATAAGTTTGAATTCCTTTATCCTTCTTTATTAAATTCAGTGCCATACATGATGTTATATAGAGACAGCGGCAAACCAGGATATTAAAGACACGACGAGGTCTTTAAGAGGATACGATTATAATGTGTGGCTAGCATCAGTAGCGAATCAGTGAGCTATTTATTGCGGTACTCAACTCAAACGGCATTTTCAGGACATGAAGCAGGCACAACTCTACTACTGCTCTTTGCGGCAGTGGCTTCTGGACATAACGACCCCGATACATCGCAATGAAAGTGTGATAGTCAGGATCATCTGCAATCTTTTCCATGCGATTTGCAATCTCAATGCACAAATTTCGAGCATCACCTGGGAGATATTCGCTGGCCGTAGGAGCCATCGAGAGCACAAGTCGAGGGACGAATGTCTGCATCATAACAGAAAGGTACTCTCTATCGCCAGCGGTGCAGGGACGAAAATCACTTCTACCAAGGACTAGAAGTGCGCTTTAAAACCAAATCATACTCAGAACTGATCATGAGGTTTTATAATAGCGCGGAACTTACACATAGAAAAATGGGTCCTTGGCCTCCAGTTCGATCCCCATTTCATGCCTGCTCGTTAGCCATGAAAGATCCGACCGGACGAGTAGGTAAAAAAACATACTTTGGAACTTCTGCCACGATGAGCGATGGCACTGAAACGTTTTTCATTATCTTCTCCACGAATGGCTTTGCTGGTAGAGGGCCCTCAATTTGGCCATCTGCGTTTCTGCAGATCCCATCCTGAAATTCGTAACACGAAGGTCCCTTACCGAAGTTTTGACCGAACAAACTTCTTCATTAGAACGCTCGAAATCAAAGGGCAAGAACGGCCTACATTTCGCCTTGTCCGGTCAAGACAACAACGTTGGCCTCCACGGTCATATGGTGGGGAAGGGGGACATCTCCGTGATTTCCGTGGAAAAAAAAATAGCGCAGAGAGCCTTGGCCGTAAGAGGAATACACCATTATTGACATAAAATACTGAGTAATGGTGAGTGAGACTGCAATGGTGATTGCCTTCCGTCAAAACCGGATACGGAATTTTATGGGAAAGTGAGGAGGGCTGGGCTTCGGAACTCAGTGGTTTTAGCGGGTTCCCGTGACAGGAAGGGACCCACTAAGTATCGGGCTTTAGATGAAAGATTGTTTCATTCTCGTCAATTCAGACTCAATCTCATTTCTTTCTTTGGGTGGACTTTTATCGGAACGCTCTCATTCTTGCCCGATTTTGCAGACGCGTGTATAATAACGGTAATGCCAATCCTAATAATATCTAAATTCATGTACAGTGGTGTAACATTAGTATTTGACCTCCGGTACTTCGGGACCCTGACCGCTTTTTAGACCGCCTACTTTATTAGTACGTCAACACTCGCGTTTTCAACACGCCAGTATATACGCTATAATTTTACGCGTTTCTCACTATTTCTCTCTATAATAATGCCACCTATACGCGGAAAAAGAGGTCCAGAGCTTGACTGCTTTACCCGGGCTAAGATCTGCGAATTACATGCTGCAAATGGCTGGGGTGCTACGACTATTAAGAAGCAGCGCTTTCCCGACATTCCATGCTCAACCATCCAATATACGCTTACCCAAGAAGCAAAGCGTCAAAAGCATGAAAGCCTTCCACGCTCAGGCCAGCCGAGGAAGATTACTGAAGAGGATCGTGACCATATCTACGATATTATACAAGAAAAGCCTTCAATTTTGATCGAGGATCTACTTGGAGAGGTTGATTTTAAAGTCCACCGTATGTCAATTTGGCGTCTAACCCACGAAATGGGCCTTCGAAAATGGAGGAAGATGCAGCGGCCGGCATTGACGCCTATACACGCCGAGAAACGTCTTCGCTGGGCTCTTCAATATCAGCATTTTATATCAGAGGATTGGGCCCGCGTCTATTGGTCTGACGAATGTACGGTTGAACGTGGCATTGGCCAGCGTCAAGAATGGACTTTTACGCGTCCGAAAGATCAGCTTTTTCAGCATTCGGAAGAAGGCCATCAGGTTCAAATGGTTCTAGCGCGGGGGAAGCAAATTAAGCAGATGTTTTGGGCTGCTTTTTCCGGACTTCCACGTCGATCAGGCCTTATTCCCCTATTCGGAGATCCCCTATCTTGAAGAGGTGGCGTCTCTTCACGTACGATCGAAGAGCTCTATCGGCGCGTCTTACCTACGCTCCTTAATAGCATTGATTCTAATGCTATTTTTCAGCAAGATAACGCGCCTGTTCACACGGCATATATCGTACGGGACGCTTTAAATGAGCTCCAATGCGATATCATGGAATGGCCTCCCTATTCGCCTGATTTGAACCCGATCGAGAACCTCTGGGCGCTGCTTAAAGCGGAAATCCTGAAGCGTCACCCAGAGCTCATGCAGCTTCCTAATAATGAACCTACGCTAGAATTACTACTAGAAGCTGCGCAGGAAGCATGGGAAGCGCTAGATATCGATCTCTTTAAGCATCTATCGGAGACAATGCCTCATAGGGTAGCTGATGTCATTAAGTATGGCGGGTGGCATACTAGCTATTAAATTGAATTGAATTCCGAGGTTTCTGCATTGCAGTATAAAAAAGTGGGTCCTAGGCCGAAGTACCGGAGGTCAAATACTAATGTTACACCACTGTATACCCCTTCCATGTAACGTGATTCACTAGTGAGCTGGCCATACCCCCGAGCTGGCCACCCCAAAACACCATAGTAAATACGATATATTCTGCCCTAATATCTTAACAACCACATTTCTATTTTATTTCACCATTTGCCGATAACTGTTGATAAGGCTTTCAAGCACTGTATATCAATTTTGAAAAATTTGAAAACTTACATTGTCACGGTATCAAAAATTACGTTACTAGGGGGCCAGAAATACATAAATCTTAGGCACTGAGTTATAGAAATTCTTTAAACTCCTCTTAGAGACTGGATACTACCTGAAAACATTAAATATTAAAGAAAAAGTCCCCATAACCTGTCGTTGTTGTGATACTATGTTGTAATTTATCGCATTTACTATGGTGTTTTGGGGTGGCCAGCTCGGTGGTGTGGCCAGCTCACTAGTGAATTACGTTACTGCTTTAGTGTATTAGTAATCAACCGCAGTAAACGTCTGGTTCCCATCCCTTCCCCCTTTAACCGTTTCCATCACGCCCCTCGCTTTACACACCATGGATCTCATACCTCAGAACACACAATTTCCAGTAAGATTCTATTCAGGGACAACAGCGTGTGCATTGGCGAAGCTCACACAGTATAGATTTTCTGTTTTGGCGACAAGCGTATCACCGTGAAGAAGGATAAGCTGCTGAATGAGCTTCGTCCGACCGTATACCACTTAGAACTCGAGGAGCCTCGTTTTGGTCTTCCAGAAACAGTCATTGTCAAACAACAGAAACACGGACGGGAAGCTGAGTTTTGCAATGAGATAACTGCCTACAAGAGGCTGCGAATACTTCAAGGGACCGTGATTCCAACTCTATTCGGTCGAGGCTCTTTCAATGGGCTTCCAGCCTTAATACTTTCGGAGGTTGAAGGTATTACTCTGCGCGATCTCGCTAAAGTCGTCGAACCAAGTTTCCAAGAAAAAGCTCTGGAAACTCAACTTGAGAAAGCTTTCCAGGAGCTACACAAGTACGGAGCCGAGCATTATGATCTGAACCTGGGCAACTTCCTATTCTGTAACAATGGACAAGTGGTAGTTATCGACCTTGAGGAAGTCGAATTCCCTGATAGACAGCAAGCTTGGGAACGCAGTGTTAATTTGGGCTGTGTGAGTAACCTGATGAGCAGATTCAGAGATGTGAGATACCCACGACGTGCTCCGTCACCTGTTGTATGCTGGAGATCTTGTACTGGGGACGACGATGACAAGAGTGGCTCAGAAGCGCCCGGCTCATGTTATTCTATGGGGCTCGTGAGTCGAGGTGGCATTATGAAACCGGGTTTCGTCACGCTCTGAAAGGGAACAGTAGCCAACAGCGGTACTTGAGAAGAGAAGAGACTAGGAAATGGAGATGGAAACTGTCAGTAACTAGAAACTGATGACGGCGATTCTTCAGGAGAACTATGTGATAACAACCTGGAGAGGAATTCATATAACTGAATCCTTACGTTGCCATTTAAGTGACCGACTCGCCAGTACGATGAACGATGTTCTCCCATAGATTGTCCATCTACTGTACTTTTCTGCGTATCATTTCGGCGAGGCGCCAGGGTAAATTAAATCTACCTACCTACTACCTACTGTACTTTTCGCAAATGATTGACGATAACCAGCAAATGCAAATTACAGTGGTTCGACGAGGTGATCCAGCGAGATATACCTTTCGACCATCTTTTGTTGTAATTCCCCTGATATCAGTCTGAAATATGGACAACATTTCCGCTCCACTTCTCAAGACTAGGGGAGTACCAAGCTTCCCCGGAAAAAGTGATGCCATCATTCAATCCACATATTTTCCACTCATGCATTGTACGATGCGTGCACCATTACGCGGCTTTCTAACGGCTTAGCAGAAGCTTCGAATAATGAGCTCCAAAAGGGGGGTGCATAAATTTGGCCAGTGGCCCGCTAATATTTGTTTCAGTCAGGCGAGACTATCGAGGCACCAAAATAAGAAAATATAATTCATGTAATTTGGTAGATCGAAAAGGCAAAACCAATTCTCCACGCAACGCAAGAGACACGTCTTCATCCAGGCCTCACTTCGTCTGTTTCCATTTCCACTCCAGAGGCGCCCATTTTTACGTATCCTGAGCTGCTTCAGCCTGGTAAGCCTACAGAGCCTGTTGCGTTTCAAGTGAGATTGCATCAAAATCCACATCATCTCCAACTTTGCCAGTTTGAACAACTCGCTGCCAAGTGGGTCCAAGTGCGCAAATACGGCGCATAGTTGAGGACGTTTCGTCCACATGTGATGAATAAGCGACTTGATATCCTGCTTGGAGCAATTCTGGTCCTTCCTAATCATTGACTTAGCTTTAATAGGAAGTGACCTGCCACCGGTTGCAGATATCCCTTGGTTCGACCAGCCAAGGATTATAGGCATTCTTCAACACGACAACACGAATACCAAAGTGCGCGAACATGTCTGGTCGGTTGTCTCAAATCCCGGGCCCATGGAGTTAGGCTGCTCTTCCATATTGCTGATTGGTGTGCTTCTATTAAAGGCAAGAACGAGATTTGAGTGATATAAGTGACTACTGTAAAGGTCATACTTATACTCGGGCTGATTTAGCAGCCCCACCCACTACGAGCGACTTACCTTCAATCGGAAGTAGGTCTACTCATGGTCATTACTGCCGCAGCGTATCATTTCATAACGCAGAAGCTTTCAGGGATCTTACCAAGGCATTGATACTCAGCTACGGGACCTTCCTCTTTCAACCGAAAGTATCGAGTCTGTAATGAATCTGAAAGTATTCTGTATAGCGCTTCTGATTGATCCCACTGGCTCATAGTATGTATGGCTGACCGGCCGAGTCAGGTGTTCTTGAAGAACAAAGAATTTTTGCGAGACTTAAGCTTGGGGATATACTCATCGGCGGTATTCATAGTGGAGGATGTGCGCACAGATGCGGACAGATAAGCAAATATGCACATGCTTATTTGAAATCGCTCAGCAAAAATAGCCTTTAGCCAACAAGTTTAGTCAACATTTTCGAAGCAATGCAAAGAGCAGGGAGCATTCCAGATCCGATTCCCTATGAACAAAGTACTCCATACACGTTTGAATACAAACACGCGGCACAAGAATATAGGAAGAGCCGTCAGTGGTCGATAGACGACTTTCAGGGAGTCTAGTGGAAAATAGATGGCCAGTTACATGTTAGTCCTTTAGGTCAACTATCTTCATCGTATCCTTCAGTCTCTACCCCGGCATGCCGAAAGTGACACTCAGCGTTATCTCTTTTCCTGCCAGCGGTATCGACGCATGCCTGCAAAAATGCATCGAATCCCTGTTCAGGTTAGGTTTCAAAAGGTTCCCAATCGCGGTCAATATAAGTCTTCAACTCAAAAATAAAATTTCTTCAATAGGGTCCGAGTGTGGTGGCAGGTATATCAATACAACGCCTACCTCAGACCACAACTCTGTGATCCCCTGGAAGGGGTGGAAGGACGCGTTTTTCATTAACCATAACTTCGTCTCAGGCTATTTTCCACAGTGTCGTAGAAGATGTTTCGGTTATCAGTCCCAGCCTCATTCTGGTAAATCGCGCTGTTTGGCGTGCTGCATATGACCCAGGTGCGTGGTTCATGGAGATTGGCTTTTGGTGGTCTATTTGGAAATTGCGATTGTAGGGGTCAGCCTCACCGCGCGAATACCACCAATAAGATGATGGCTCGCCTCCTGATGCGCTGGGCATGCATGAACAACATGAACAACGCATGGCTTCCCCTCATTTTCCAACTTCATCGGCTACTAATATTTGGTTAAGGTGTCTCACTTCGATAGAGATTTGTCCTTTGAGCCACGGCTTTTATCACTGCTAAGAATATCAAGATGAGCACCAAACTTTCTGGCCACAGTCAAACGGGTGAGGAGGCCGCCGAGTCTCCAAGCCAGAGATTTCCAGAGGTCGAATATAATCAACCACAATTCTCGTGAGGATCTCCCATCGATTGAGCATGAAAGCCCCTAACACTTACTGGTCGTAGGCTCTACGAACTTCCAATGGCCACCCTCTCCATCGGAACCAAGCGATACAGCATCCCGTCATTCTATCTCCAGAAGTATCCTCTCTTCGAAGATATGTTTCTCTTCGAAGACCTACGGCTTTCCGGTGTTCCTGAAGATATTGGCCACACATTAGTGCATTTCTTATACACGGGTGCTTATGAGACCATCGACTCGCCTCTAAGTGAACGCACATCTTACGTAGAACGAGAATACCAAAGAAGCGTCCAAGTCTACCATGCATGCAGGAAGTACGGTCTCCCTGATCTCGAGGCGCTTGCTGAAAAACATATTGAATATTTTGGCAAAGCAATGACGACGATCGAACTTATGAATTCAACCAGGGAGGCCTTCTTTTTACTTCCCGAAAATGAGATATGGCTTCCAGAATATGTCAGGAAAGTCCTTCGACGAGAATTTGTGTCTGTAAAGTCACAGCCCAATATTCGTGAAATTGCCAATAATGGCACTGGCAAGAAAAGCGAGTTGTTTAGCATAGCAGTCATGGCGGTTGTGATTGACATCCTCTACGTCCACGTACAACAGTGCGCGAAAAACCACAAAGGGCACCTGGATTCTCTTGAAGTCGAGGGTGACACAGAGCCTGAGCATGTGGCAGCAAGCGATGCAGGCACCGGAAAATACTATGTGTGGCCAGAGAAGCCTGCTTCCGCAGAGGCTGACGTCGCGGTGAATGGGTTGCCTGTTACCCCAGACGAAAGTGCTGTTGATGACTATCTTGGCTCCTTTGCTCAAGCTCCCATTTGTGACCCTGACGACCTCAAAAAATTCCCCACTGAGGATGCCGATCAAATCCCCAACAGTCCTCCTGATGATTCCGCTGACCACCCCACCGAACACCCGGCTGAAGATCTCGTTCCTTTCAGTGCCTGTCATACCGTCGCATTTCCTGCAAACAATGCCCGTAGGACGGGATGGGCTGGTGTTCCCGACAAGCCTTTCGCTTATGAGCCTTGCTATGAAGAAGCTGCCCCCGAGGAGCCTGCCCCTGATGAAGATGTCCCGGAGCCGCTTGTCTATGGGGACACTGTTTATGAGAAGGCCGCCGCCGATGAGCCTGTCCTGGAAGAAGAGGCCGCCCCCGAGGAGGCTACCGCCCAGGAGCCCGTAGCCGAAGTCATCACCAATCAAGCGACCTCGGACAGCCCTCTAGTGCCAAATTCATCTTTATATGTGAATTGGGACGTCCTTTCCTCTAAGGAACAAAAAAAGAGGATCAAAAAGCTAAGGGCAAGAGGTCTTCCAATCCCCGACAAGAATGGTGTTATTTCAATAAATTTGGCCTAGTTTAGACCTCGTTAAAAACATTTAGAGGGCCGACATCTCCGGCCCTCCGCCCGACCCTCGCGGGCGGAGGGCGGATGCTTGCCTGCCCTCGCCCGGCCCTCTGCCCTCTGAGGGCCGCTCGAGGGCCGCCCTCATCCGCCCTCATTTGCATAAAAAATGTCGACCTTTCCTCATTTAGATGCATTATACTGCTGATTCATCACCTTAAATTACTGTTATCTAACAGTGTTTTGCTTTACAAGTTAAATTTTCTCTTCATTTGTATATGAACATTAAGGAACTTTAAGAAATTCAGTTGTGTTATAAGTAGTGAAAGTAGGTAATGATCATATTCAGGCTTTAAGTCAGTTGATGTCCTACAGTTATTGGTAAGTCGGGTGGTTTGGGATTTTGAACGATCATGTTGCAGATATATATATTTTTACATCATATAGTTACGTGCTACATGCTCTATGCCTTAAGAACAAGCATTTCAATTTTCAATTTTTCGACTTAGCCCTTAAAAACGATAGAATAATTGTTGGATATAATGAATAGTGACATGATTTATTTTAGGAAGATTATAAAGAATTATTATATATTTGTTTCGAATATAGGGGACTTCTTTGCTCATTTTCTACTAGATTTGGGGGGGGGGGGGGGGGGGGGTGGAATTGAACCCAGCAGCGAGGGCGGATTGGCAATGTGAGGGCCGCCCTCCAAAAAAAGCGGGCCGCTCGAGAGCCGCCCTCCTATTTCGAGGGCTGAGCGAGGGCGGCCCGCGAGCGGCTCTCATAATCTAACCAATTGGAAGAGGGATCTCGAGGGAAGGTGGGGGTATTTTATGGCACGTTTAATAAACTAAGAAGCTGAGTCTTAACTACGATATTTCACTATTTCAATTAACTTAGCCCTGAAGGACTTCTTTAGTATGTGTCTTAAAGCTCTCTCATCCAATCTTCTTGACATGTTCCCTAAATTCCCAGTTGGTTAA